GTTATCCTAAGTGAAAAGGAATGATTTCCGATAAACAATGCATGATTGAGCACTTTTTCTGAAGAGGACAAACACCATCACTAACGTGCATTCCGAATACTGAAGCAGTGAAAACACAACACCCCAAAACCAATTTTAGCTGCATTCTCATCTTCACCGGACTCTACAAAAATGCATACCCTCCTCTTGTAGACATTTTCTGGATAACACCTCTGCCTACCCACTGCAGAAAATTTATTCAGGTGCTGATTGTTCCTGATCAATCAAACCTTTAGGGACAAATATCAACAGTGACAGAGAGGGCGATTTTCTTTCTTTCATCTTGCCTGACTGCCTGCCTGCAGGAAGAAGTGCATCAGAATAATGCCTTTCTACGTACCACGACCCAAACTACAGTTCTGCATACTGTGTTTAAAGTTCCAAAAATAGGTAAGTACAAGAGTGGAGCTGGGCTGTTGAGGTCAGGATATGCAGTCATTCATGAGGCACCATAAGTTAAAAACACCTTGTTGGCATGTAACAACGTAATAGAATAAATTCCTCACACACATTTTACCAGGGTATACAGGCATGCGGTCAGGAAGTGGTTATCTTATGTGAAAGGGAACATTTTCAGATAAAAATGCATGAGTGAGCAATTTTTTTTCAAGAGAACATATATCATTACAAGTATGCATGCAGACTTGATAAAAAAGTGCACCTTCCTCTTTGTGTCATTTTCCAGCTATCCCCTCCCCCAATTACAAAAATTCCCCCTAGGGTGCTGGCTGTTCATGATAAACTGATCCTTTCAGGGCAAATATCAGCAGGGACAGAGGGTGATTTCCTTCCTTCCTTCCTCCCTCCCTCCCTGTAGGAAAGAGTGGATTAAAAATGTTTTTGTTTACCATGACCTTGACCCAAACTAAGGCCCTTTACATTGTCTATGGCACACTGCCTCAGCCAACCTGCTGTCTTCATGTGGAGTGGAGGATGAGGTTCCATTCACAGCATTAAAGAGGAAGTCAACTGCCAATCTCTCTGGCAGTTAGTGACCTTTTCAGGGAGAAGAGTTCTTACCAAAACACTTTTCTTTGTAGAAGTTCCTTGGAGAAAAGTAGACCAGAAGTACTTCATCTCTTTTCAAGCAAATATGTTCTTGCTGGTGCTTTTATATGTTTGTGAGCTTTTCAACTGAACTCTCTAGTGTATAGGTCTCTGTGTGTGTGTGTTCGTGTGTGGGTGTGCAGGTGGCTGCAGGAAGAGAAAGGGTGAAAGAAAGAGAACCAGGAAACAATGTCTGCTAGCAGAATTATAATGGATGGGTTATTTTGTTATTTCCCATGGAAAGCCATTCTGACAAAATTAAAGCAAAGGCACTGAAAAATTTTGAAGATTCAATCTATCCAATGTATCTTCAGAAACTGAAGCATCCACATCCAGGCAAAGCCTTCTTTATGCAGGGATTCAGTGATCCTATTTTGGCTTGTTTTGATATAAAATGTGAAATGATGCATTAATCTGGAATCTAAGCTTTGCAACCTTGCCCCACCCATCAAAACACATGAGAGAAGTGGATGTTACAATTTAATACTTACCCATTTTATAAAAGTTTGTGTTTGCTACTGTGGACTTCAAATGCTTTGTTTTGCTTTCATACTGCCTGGGCCAATGCACGGTTAATGTAGTTTGTCAGCTCTGGAGACACCTTAGACTTGCATGCCACCCACTCATTCACTTTGAAGGGCATTTCTTGTCCTTGTAAGCTTCAGAGCTTATCATGCTTCACTTGATGTTTTCTCATTCCTTGTTCTCAAACTAAGCATAATTAGAACCATAACTCAATGTGCAACCATATTGAACAATAGACCCTAATGTCCATACTGGACAACAATGACCGTCATTAATTATCCTGATAAGTATAGGTCAAACTTATCAAAGGATGTCCAAGAATATGAGTCAATGTTCTGTGAATATCTGTTTATTTGCATTTAGATATTTATTGTGCTTATAACCCAGTTTTTTCCACCTGAAAGAAACCCAAAGCAGATTACGTGGCCTTCCTTTTCTCCATTTTATCCTCACAACAGCCCTGTGAGGTAGATTTATCTGACAGTAACTGGTCCAAAGTCTCTCAGTGAGCTCCCTCACCAGCTGGAAATAGAACACAGGTCTCCTGAGTTCAGGCCCAGCAGTCTAACCACTATTCCACACCAGATCTCTTTATGTTCTCTCCTAAGAACTGATACATGGGAACAAGTATTAATGGTGATTTTTAACTTTCTATTATATGATTAAAAAGTATGGATTTCTGGTCCCAATTGGTAGGGTCCTTCACAGCTTCCTAATCATGTTCTAGTTGTTCAAGTGATGGCTGATCCCAGAATGCACCTGATATAAAAATTTAAAGAAAATCTTGACAGCTTAAGCTGCTGCCCAGGTGGAAATGGAGGAAGTTTGAGAGAAGCTGAAAGAAATCTTGGGCCAAACTACAATATTTTAAACTAATGGGTCCATTCATTGCACTTTTAGAGAGTAAAACCAAGCATTTCTTGATATCTCTGATCACTTTTTCAGGTTGACAATTTCTTCACCATGACCTTTTGTGAGGCTTCCTCCACATCTTTGTTCTTCAGGGTGTAGATCAGTGGGTTTAAGATTAGGGAAAGGATGCTGTTCTCCAGCTATAGCTCCAGGGAGCAGCTGGAGATGGGCTAGATGTATATAAAAATGGAGCTTCCATACAAAAGTACAATTTTCACAAATCACTGACTACGGAGCCATTCTCCATGCAAACTTGGCTAATTTCCCCACAATACCCATTCTGTTGGGAGTCTATTTCAGTTGCAATGCTCTACCAAGGTCCCTTCTACCTGACATCAATGAGTACATTATAATTGTGTGCTTATAAACAATGAATTCACAATTTCATTTTTGAAACTTCTGTGTGCATGGGCCAATTGTATTCAACTTGCAACAACTGTCCAGTTTCCAAAGTCTAAAGATCTCTTTTTAGCAAACAAGCCTTATTGAATGTGCATATCTAAGGGCCTCTACACAAGGCAAGTAGTGTTCTCTTGTGATTCTGTACTCATGGTAGCTTGTGAAGGATTTGCATGATGCCATTGTCCTCTACGTTTTCTCCTGTGTTCTGTATCCATTTTTGAGTTTGCTCACCCATTTCTTTAAGAGTGCAATAGGCTATTTTTTAGGTGTTGCATGTTTTAAATTGAATTCTAGAATTGTGCCATACCTTTGTGCCAGCTTGTGGTGGCTTAAAGGAACATACAGGAAGGGGAAGAAAGAAAAATGGTGTGCTGTTACTCCCAGAAAGGAAATGGAAGAAGCAGCATTATTTAATTCATGCAGAGAAGCCCTAACAAGAGGCCAATAGTTTATATGTGTGTATGCATGTGTGTGTCGTGCCTGATGGCTCAACCGAGACATCTACTCATGAGGAAGAGACAGAAGCTGACTGAGAGTCGGGCATTGGACCAAGGAGACTTATATTTGAGGACCAGTGCCCAGACAGCCCATATGCAGCCTGGCTCTCAGGCTACTGAGCAAGAAACCTCTCCACCACCTGATCCCTCAGTCCCTGAGCAAATGACCCCCCCCCACAAGCTGATGGGGAAGCATCTGAAAGAGAAGCTCCCTCTGATTCTAGCTCTTGGCTGCCTGAGGATGGTGCCCCCTCGGCTCCTGACTCTGAAACTGCTGAGCAGAGTTCAGGAGGACAAGAAGACGTGACGGAGAGTTTGGCACATGCCCAAAATAGGAGAGCCTTAACATGACAGACCCAATTACAACAAAGGGAGACAGGGGTCTGTCCCACCCATGAACGGAAGGACGAAACAGGAAGGTTTGATGCCACGTGGTCTCCTAGTATAGCTCAGAAAAAGAAACAGCAACTAAACAGTTAGGGAGCTCATTATTAGAGCTTATCAGTTACATCGTAAATCTTGTAGAGAGTAGCAATAAAAGTCTTTAGATTCTCTGTGGTCTGCTGTGTGAGTTAATTGATGCCATGAGTTACGACCTCACGACAGTGTGTGTCTTGAAGGGGATTCAAGAGAAAATGAGAAAACCAAAGCATTAGCAGAAAGTGCCAGCTGGAGCTGACGGAAGTGAGAACTAAGTCAGAGCAAGCTCAAGTAGCAATGCTTTTTCTGGGAGCTTAGAACTGCTCAGCCAAAGGAGTAGCCAGTCTTTATGAAACCTAAGCTTATTTCACTAAGTTTGGAATATACCAGTGAGCAACTCACAAAAATATAGTTTTTCCTGTCAGGATTCATGGTGAAGGGGTTGACAATAAGAAACAGTCACCAGTTGGCAACAGGTTTGAATCCTTGGTTTACTGTAATAAGTCCAAAAAGCAGAGAGATTAGCTATTTATTCACAGATGGCTCTCACACACCATGTCATGGCATTTCATTTCAGTTTACCAAACAAAGCTATAGGAACAAACATGCAAAGCTGCTACTCAGCAGATCAAATCACTGATTGGAAAGATATAATCAGAGTGAAATGCAAGGACATCACTAAAGAATGTGCAGAAGTTAAACACTTCGAGAAAAACTATGCAGATCTATTTAATTATAACTGGGACAGAAATCCCATTGAAGTGGAAGTTGCACAGAAAGAAATTAAAGTAGTGATAGTAGAGTTGGCAATGAATAAGTCTCCCTCTTGGCATTCATAAGTAACTCCCCAGAAGGCAATCATTCTGTATTATTATATGTACACCACCACTGTTCCTGGAGTCTTAGAAAGGCATGCGAACAAAGAAGGCCCAACAACTTGAATCCAGCAGATTGCTGTTATAGGTCCACCTCTAATATTACCATACTTCGGAGAACATAACATTCAGCTTTTCACTGTTACTACACAACATTCCAAATATTTAGAATATCCCTTAGCCTTTTCAACATCAGCCAGGCAACCCAGAAAACATGGTCTGTAATTATAGCATTTTAAACCATAGCTCTATTTCCTTTCACATTCAGTGTCTACCATCATTTTCACAGTGACCACTTCTTCACTATCTTTCGCAGTGCCTCCTTCACATCTTTGTTTCTGAAGGTGTAGACCAGTGGGTTTAACATAGGAGAGAGGATATTATTAAGTAGTGAAATAATCATGTCATTGTTGAGTAAGTGGTTGGAGATGGGCCTGATGTACATAAAAATGCAACTGCCAAAGAAGAGCAAGACAACAGTGAGATGAGAAGTACAGGTAGAAAAGGTCTTCCTCATCCCAGCTGAAGAATTCATTTTCAGAATCCTCCAGATGATGTGAGTGTAGGAAATTACAATGCATGTGGCAGGTCCAAATCCCATAACAGGGCTAGCAGCCAAGATGGCAATAATGTTGTTGGAGATGTCCCCACAGGAGATAGCTAGAAGAGGAGGGATGTCACAGTAGAAGTAGTTGATTTCATTGACTCCGCAAAGTGGCAGTCTGAATGTGAACAGCATGTGCATGGTAGCATTGAGAGAACTGGTCAGCCAAGATGCTGATATGAGGTGGGCGCAGATTTTCAGATTCATAACCACATGGTAGCGGAGAGGATTGCAGATGGCGACATAACGATCATAGGCCATGGCAGTCAACAGCAGTGTCTCAGTGCCAATGAATAAAAGGAAGAAAAAGAGTTGTGTCTTGCATCTTTTATATGAGATGATATTCATTCCTGAGACCAGGTGCACTATTATCTGAGGAACTGTAGTAGTTGTTTGGCCAAGGTCCAGGAGGGAAAGATTGCCCAGGAAGAAGTACATGGGGGTTTGAAGTCCTGGTTCCAGGAAGATAAGGAGTATAATCAGAACATTCCCCATCAATGTAAAGCTATAGGTGATGAGCATGAATGTAAGAAGGAGGTAATGCCATTCATTAAGGTTAAAAATTGGCAGAAGGATAAATACTGATGGGGTAGTTTCATTACTGGTATCCATGTTGTTAGTTTTGGTGATGCATTTTTCTCTTTAAACCAAAATGCATAATCATTGGAAATTAAATGAACAATGCAAAAACAAGTATAGAAACATTGAAGTCCTACTCTTGCTATATAGCTACAGACTGATGCATTTAAAACATTTATACAGGTATAGCTGTTAGATACTGATATAGATAGAAAACAAGCTGCTTCTCTTTGCTTGCCCTTGTTTTACCAAAAGACATAGTCGTGTGTTCTGGATGGGTGATATGGTATTGTTTTCTTTTTTAAATCCTCACAGAATTTAGTATAATGTTAATTGCCCCCCTGCCCCTTAAGACTTAGAAAAAAGTTTGGGAAATATTCTGTAGTCACAATTCCCAAAAAACCCAGAAATTATTAAAGTGAAACAATTAAGGTCTTCTGTTTTGCTTCCATTCTGCACATTATCCAGGATGTGTTAATTCCACTGCAATGGTCATTCAAGAAATTTCCAAACACAGCCAAAATGCAAAATGGTTCCTGGTCATGAGGGACCCTCACTCTGTATCCTAAAAAGATCACACAAAATAATCAGAAAACATAACTTCTTGGGTTTGTGTCTTAATTGTGTTGGGCAGGGGGATCTTTCATACCTATAATATTGGCTTTAAATTTACATAGTTGTTGACATGGTGTACCATCCTGACTACCTCTGGCTTGACTGCCAGATGTATAATATTATCTGTTCCACAAGGCTATAGAAATGAATAAACAAAGACTGTGGTTTACAGAACAAAGTTGAGGTCATAGTTCAGCAAAGTACCAAAAAGTAAGGAATTGTGATCTAAGGCTCCCTAGCCTTAATATGACATGATCCCTAAAATGGCAGAAAGTGCATGGAAATACTCATTCTCCCAGAACAGAAAACCATATGGAAAGGATGCAGAATCATGCAGAATATGATCTGTGGAAATGATATTTGAAGCTGTTGATAAGAAACAGCATAGGGTTACCTCTGTCTCTTGTTCTTCAGATGTGTTGGACTGAACTCCTATCAGCAACTAGTAGGGCCATTGGAATATTCTTTTTCAACATTAGGATAGAAAACATGTAATCAACCAAGAAATTCCAAAATTTGTGCAGCACTTTGAAAGGACGCTCTTGAAGCAGATGAAGATACAAATAATGAATCCTTAGTCAAAGAAATGTAAGAACCAGACCACCAATGTTATCCTATGCATGTCTACTCAGAATTAAGTCTCCGTGGGAAATATTCCAGGGATGAGTGTGGAGGATTGCTGTATGAACTATTAAAACTTACATCCTTTTAAAATCCTTGGGACAACTTAGTCATTTCCTAAGTCATAATGATCAGCATTAGTTCCCAATCTCATCCTCTCTCTATATCTATCTATATCATCTGTACATGTATCTACAGATATATGAATTAATAGATGGAAAGTCCAGTACACTAGACTGAAGCTCACTTAATGCATAAGTCATTCTTTAATTATAATACAGCCAGGTTGTTGTTACTATCGTTTTTATACTGCCCCACATCTGAAAATTTCTGGGCTATCTCTCTATTAGCAGAGTTTACTCATGTAAGCAATTAATTCAATAAAACACGCGTTTTCATACCTGAGAAACCTTAGTTTTTCATGTTGTTATCACTGTTTGTATGTTGTGCATGGATTTCTCATTTGTTTTGTTTTTATATATATTCCAAATATGCTTTGGGAGCTGTCTACCTCAAGAGCTTTCCTAGATTAGAACAATCTTCCATTCCCAGAAGTGATTCAGAGACATTAAATCCAAACAAAAACATTCCAACTCAATTTTACACTCAGTACCTATTTGCTCTAAGCTAAATAATGTTTTAATTTTTCAAACCAGCTTTCCCCAACTTAGTGCTCTCCAGATGTTTAGGATTACATCTCTCATATGCCCCATCCAACAATAGAAAGTGTTGAATCACAGTTTAGAGGCACCTTTTGCTGTATTGCTTTGTGACAAATCTCTACTACTTGGTTTGACAGGAAAAATAATAAGCAAGCAAATCAGAAATAAACTAGATTTCTTTTCCAAATCAAGAACAATGTTTAACCCAGTTCAGATATGGGACTTGTACAGAAGCAGGTGTCTGACAATCCAGTCAGGGCTATGTCCTGATTAACTGCCCAAGAGCATAGTGATGGATTTGATGATATCTGTGTTGAGCAACTGATGGGTGAAAGCTCAGGTTATCTGAAACAGCTAAGTGAGCAAAGCCCTGATCTGCATGAGCACATATTTGGCCACGTCTTTTTCAAATCTGTCTGTCTGTCAATCTGTCTATCTATCTAGCTATCTAGTATAGTCTTCATCCCTGCATTCTCACCAGTCATCTGTTGTTTCCCTGTATCATGAACTCAGAAGTAAGGAGTTGAATTTTGTTTTATTTTATTTTATAAAGCAATGTGTTCTAATTGCAACATGAATGAAAACAAGAAGATGAGCAGAAGGGCATTTGAAAATAATTATCAAAATTTTGCATACTACCAAGCTTGTGAATGTGTTCAAAAATCAAACTTGAATTTCTGTTACCAAATACTGATTCTTTATGCATTTCACTATGCATTTTGGGATGTGTGTGTAGTGAGAGAGAGCACATTTACAGATGTGCAGTATTCCCTTATATAATGCTATTTGATAAGTTTGCTTCATTAATAAGCACATGTTTGTGCATACTTTTCCTTGAATAAGGGATGAATAAGAATTTCATTTCATTCATTTTGGGAATTTATTTGAATGCAGATGGAAGCACAATTAGCAGTTGGAATCTCTACATTCCTGAGCTCACAATACAATAAATGCAGTAAGGAAAAAGCTTGTGTTTCCCACAGTGATAGAATGCCAGAGGATTGCCCTATTCATTCACAGATGGGCCATACAGAATGCCTGAACATTTTCCGGTGGGTGGGGGGAACTCACCTAACAGAGTAATAATTATAAGGAATTATGGCTTCCCCTATACAACCCCAGAGTGGAATAAGAAGAAATCATTACAGAATATATAAGCCATTCAGCACTGTTGAATATCTCAACTCTACAAATGAACAAGCAGAATAGATGCTTCAGAAAATTTCATTAGCTCATTACCAGGCACTCTGCTGAAAGAGAAGTTATACATAAACTAATGCATTACACATGAAGAAAATGGAGCAGCAATAGAAAAGGTGGTACGAATAAGATCCTCACTCTTGATTTCAATGGGTTCCCTCCACAATTCCACACACTGATGTGTGTGTACTGTCTTTTTGCTATGAGATTTAGAAAGAATGTGAACATAAAAGAAAGGTACAATACTAAAACCATCAAAAGTCAGATTATGTTGTTTGGTTACCACAAATCATAATGAATACTTGGCATGCCCCCATTTTTGAGCATCAGCAGAATAAACCTAAATGGTAGTCATTTTGAAGCATGTATCACATTTGCTTGCAATGTTAGAAAGGAAGACCAATAGCAACAACTGTTGCTGCCTTATTCAGAATGACAGTTTCTTCACTAAGATCTTTTTGAGGGCCTCCTTCACATCTTTGTTCCTCAGTGTGTAGATCAGTGGATTTAACATAGGTGAAAGGATATTATTAAACAGGGCAATCATTATATCATTATTTAGTGAGTGGTTGGAGATGGGTCTGATGTACATAAAAATGCAACTACCAAAGAAGAGCAAGACAACAGTGAGATGCGAAGCACAGGTAGAAAAGGCTTTCTTCATCCCAGTTGAGGAGTTCATTTTCAGAATCCTCCAGATGATGCGAATGTAGGAAATGAGGATACACATGGCTGGTCCAAAGCCCATTATAGGACTAGCAGCCAAGATGGCAATGATGTTGTTGAAGAGTTCTCCACAGGAGATAGCTAGAAGAGGAGAGATGTCACAGTAGAAGTAGTTGATCTCATTGACACCACAAAAGGACAAGTAGAACGTGAAAACAGTGTGCAGAGTGGCATTGAGTGAGCTTGTGAACCATGAGGTTGACACCAGCAAGGAACACATTCTCTTATTCATGACTACATGGTATCGGAGAGGATTGCAGATGGCAGCATAACGATCATAAGCCATTACAGCCAACAGGAGTGACTCAGTACCAATGAATAAAAGAAAGAAAAATACTTGCATCTTGCATCTTTTATATGAGATGTTATTTTGTCCTGAGATCAGATGCACTATTATCTGAGCGATGGTTGTTGAAGTTTGACAGAGGTCTAGGAGGGAAAGGTTGCTTAGGAAGAAGTACATGGGTGTTTGAAGACTTGGTTCCAAGGAGATAATGCAGATGATCAGAGCATTCCCCATCAGTGTAAGGAGATAGGTGAGGAGCATAAATACTAGGAGAAGGAAACGCCATTCATTAAGGTGTGAAAAAGCCAGAAGGATGAATTCTGATGGAGCGGTTTCATTACTTATATCCATTTGATTGGCTTCAGAGATGTATTTTTTCTCTGCAAACCAAAATGCATAACTAGTTAAAAATAAATGAAATAAGTGAACAAAAATAAAGGAAAAACGGTTAAACACACACCAATGAAGAATGAAAAAGCAATAAAGCTATACTCTTGCTAAGTAGCTTCAAGTCGTTTCATGTTATGTTATCATACATAACATCCCTTTCACTGTTTACACATGCTTCACCAAATTACATATCCGGATGACTGCAGGTTACATATCCAGTGCAAAAGAGTTAGCTTGGGAATGAGGGGAATGCTAAGGACATCAGCATGCTCTTCTCTTGTCTGAGGATGGGCAATGTTCTCCTGCAGAAGCACCAAAACTATTCCAAATGTGAAAATAGCAGGTAAATCCAAAATCAAAACTGGCATCAACCAGTTTGAGAGAAACCACATGTTCCTCATACCCTTGTTTCCCTGGGACGTATAATGAGTGAAAGATTTAAACTTTTGTTGTTTTATAAAGACAGTCTGTTCTTTTTCTTTCCCCTCTCCATTTTCCTTACATATTTGAAGGCAATGGAAAGTGTCCCAAATGGAGTCACTTGTCGACCTTGTGACCTTCAGAAAATACAAATCTGTGCTTTATTTGATTGGGATCCTGTGGAACACAGGTCAGCACTTTGCTTCATGGAAGAAGCTAGAACATCAGTCCTTTCACCTAAACATTGAGGGCTCAGTCTGGTTGGGTGTCCATATCATTTCTACATGTCTTTCATTTATTCATAAGCCATCCTATTGCTGCACTCACCTGCTGTTGTGAAATTAATATTTGGTTGGAAATTTGTATTTGAATACGTGTCTGAATATGAATGTTTCAAGGTATTTTCCATTAAATGTGCATTCCTAAATGGATTTTCTCCCAAATCATGCATTTAGGAAACGTAAATTGATGTGGTAGTTGAATGGAGGATGGTGCCAAAAATATTTGGCAAAAGTCTGAGTCTCTTATTCTCTCCCCCCACCCTTTTGATAAGCAGTCAGCCAGTCAGCAGAGTATGTATTTCTTGACTTGATACTGTCCATGTTTTTCAGACTCACCTCTGCCCCAGTCAGGATGGACAATAATCAGGAATGATGGGAGTTAGAGTTGTAGTCCCAACTGCCTGGAAGGTACTATGTTTGACAAGGCTGGTACGGGGAACAAACCCGTGCTGTTACTAACTTCAGATTGCAATGCTCTTCTCATTGTGCATGCAGATAAAAGTTCACTAAAATTACAGTCCGATATTTGTCTAGTTAGAATAAATCCAATGAGAGTGTCTCGCCAGATGTGTTCTTTGGTTTTAATGCTCTATCCAAAATAGAAAATCAACATTTCCCTAAGGTTATCATTCTCTCTGCTTGGTTCTCAGTATTTCAGACTAAGACAAATTCTTTAGAAAAGCCTGGAGAGCACAGTGATTTTGTTTAGATAGCTGCTTAGAAAGCCTCCTCCGCCTCCTCCTCCAAACTGGGTGTTATCTATAGTGCCAAGAAGGCGAAGAAAAATTCTTACATCTTTTATACATTTGGAAGCAGCCTAGCTAGGTCTCCTGGGTGTCCATATGTGCATGTATGTGTGTCTTCTCATGCCTGGGGACAGAATGGTTGAAAAAAGAATTGCTGCAGAAGAACAAATGCCAGAAATAAAATGCCAGTAGTATAATTATAGTGAATGATATGTACTGAGAGCATTACAGGACAAATTGTGCTATTGATGGGTTTCTGACTTCTGGACAGGAAGGCTTTGCTTTCAGAGATGCTGAATGTATCTTCTCTTTCACCTGAATAATATTTAATAATATTTGCTGCCCTGTTCTAGCCATTTAGTTTATCCTAATCCAGAAAGGGAGGGAGGGAGGGAGGAGAATAGAAAAGATATAGCACATTTATTTAATGGCTGTATGACATTTCTTCTATGCTACAGAAGCAAAGAAAACCCTCTTTAAAGAGTGATGGAATGCGTCTTTGGAGAAGTGTGGCCAACTCTTTCTCATCTAGATGCCAAAACAGCAGGTTTGGAGTGGAGGTTTCTACAAGTTCAGTTGTCACTGTCAAAACACTGTCCCAAGTAGGTCATCACCATCTCGCAAATGGCGAAAGGCCCCAGAGCAGAACTGAGTGCAGCAGTTCTTGAAGTGTCCTGGGTTTGGGATATTCTTGTTCATGATATCCAGCTATGACCCAATAAAGTTTTTGCTTTTTTTAAATTGACCTATGAAACCAAAGGGTAGTTCTTCAACTTGTAAGAACAGTTCAGAGAAATGAATGCTTTCTACCACATAACTCTGTCCAAATGCTTTAACCATTATGTGACGCTTAGGTGGGATTTAGCAATGGATGATTATTTTGTTTCTGTTCATTTCTTAAATGCAAACTCACAAAAATATGGCATCTTCTTGATCTTTCCTTTCCACCTTCCACATGTTGGAAAGATATGTACAAGATATGAATCAAGGAAGCCACGTGTATTGGCCTTCCTCCTTGTCATTGTACAGTTTCTAAGACTTGTGAGATGCCTACACATGCAAACCAGACTCCCCTTCTCAGACCATCTAGTTCCTCTGAGGACACAACAGAGGAGCTGGAGCAGCTCATCATGGTTCTGCTCTCAAAACTGACAATGTATGAAGGCAAGTAACAATGTAGGGTTTAAACAATTCTGGCACTCGGAGAAGTTCAGACAAGAAGCCACCACATCATTCTTCAAAGAATACATATAATCCACACATCAGGGTAAATACCACAGAAAGTGGATAATGTCATAGGAAATAGCATGTTCTCAGGATGGGAATTGTGGAACAAAGAATGTTTCATTTTCTTAAACAAAAGCTCTTAGAGATGTAACTTGCCTTTAGGGTTACACCTTTAAGATACAAAACAGCGATACCAATTCTACTTGTATTTGTTTCAATTGATGCTAATTTAGATTGATGCCCTTAGCATATTTGTGTTGTGCTTTGCATTTCCTTCTTGCTAGATGATGCTTTCATTAATGGACAACAGCTGTGGTCCCATTTTCTCTCCAGGAACCTGGAGTATTCTTCATATGCCTGGAGCAACTTCCCTAGGGTGTTATCCAAGGCTTGAAAATTACTGCAACTCTGTTCCTGCTTCCATAAACACAAGATTTCCAACAGCAGCTGCATGCCAAACGCATGCCCCCAGGTTTTCTCAGAAGCTTCAGATTCTTAACCCAAAGGTATGGCTTCAAACGAGGGGCAAATTCAGATCAAATGAGATGCAACCATTTTGATCATTAGTCTGTTGTTTTCCCTATCTCTGGAAGACAACTATGATGGTCTCATTGGTGACTTATGTGTTAGTGATGCTTGGAATTCTGGCAAAAAAACAAAAAAACCCTACAATGTGTTCTGTGCATCTGTGACTTCTCTTTTTCCTTAACTAATTAGAGGTACAGGGTGAGTGGTATTGTTATCCTATTCATAATGCATAAGGAGGGGGTGGTTATTTCTTTCTTTCCATGCCACAATCAGAGTGCAACTTCCTCAAACAGCTGCACAGCTTCATAAATTTCCTTTTGAAGGGAGACTTAGATTTCATAGATAAATCTGAATGTCTGAAACAGACTTCCCCATGCAATCTAACACCTCTCATCTGAATGCAGATACTTTACCATAGGCCACATTTTCATTATGGATCCTGCTCCATGGTCTTGGGATAAATTGATCTAAACCACTTATCATGTCTTCCTTACAATTGCCACATGAATTTCACCCCAATTCATGTGCAAAGTCAAATTTGGAGTTACTATTGAAATTAGATAACCGGTCCCAATTCTATGCCTGCTGTCTAAGCAACTGGAGGATAACATGGAGTCTCATTTTTGACCTCAGAAGTCTGCTCCAAGCTCAGAGCTGGGACTCTGAAGCAACCTTCCTCCACCCTCACAGCCAGTGTGGAATGGGCTCCTCATGAGCAACCTTGAAGATGGGCTTTTGTGGGCATAGAAAAGACGAGATTGTTGTGCCAGCATATGCAGTCTTCTGGAGACAGTTCCGCCAGTGCTCAAAGTCTTTTACAAGACAGGAGAAATGTAGAGGCAAAGTTTTGCCACTATGGTAAGCATCCTGCCTTCCATAGGATGCTTACAATCCTCCACATTCAGAGGGTTACAGATAGCCTGACTGGACGGCACTGTACACAATTTCAAGGGGAAATGGTTTCAAAGAGAGGGGTGTCTCTAAGTTTTAAGTATTGCAATATTCTCTTATACTGATTGATTTCTTTTCCAGCATACAATTAGAAACTATAATGGCATTTTGTGTCAAAAGAAAAGTCTTGTCATATTAATATTAATATCAACCACTTCAGATGAATAAAACAGGCACAAAGGTTTAGAGGATAGTAACTGAATTAAAAGATTGAAAGAACTGTGCGAAAGCTGTAGTATGGATTATACAGCTTCCTCAAACATATTTTAATAAAAATCTATGAATGGTGTACTGAAAGTGAATCAAATCCCATAATTATTTGGTCCATTTGTTTTGATTTGTTGCTGTTACGTGCATCAAATCATCTCTGTTTTATGGTGATCTATGAATGAATGTCCTCCAGTCATTGACAGTCCTGCTTAGCTCTTGTAACTCAAAGGTGTTGCTTCCTTTATGGAATCAAGGGGGAAAATTAACGTTGTTATTCAAGTATGTTAATTAAGGTGCTTTCTTTAGGGAAGGTCAATAACCTTCCAAATTTGGAGAGTCAGAGGCATCCTATGCAGGGCAGAAGGACCATGAACTCATTGGCCTTTGATTTTTCCTAGCACTACTGTCTTCTCCAGTGAGTCTTGGCTCCTCATGATAGGACTATTGTAAAACTACCTCAGTTTCACCATGTTTGCTTACAGAAATAGTTTTGGCTTGATTTGATCTAGGACCTACTTGTTCATGTTTCTGTTCGTACAGGGTATTTGCTTCACTTCAGAGAACTAAAAGAGAGGTTCTGTATTTGCCGAACAACATCTGGAACAAAAAGGAATGATGGTTGGAGACATGAAAGAACTAGCTGACTAGCTCTCCAAGATCAGAAAGTTGACCTTGGACAGGGAGTGAAAGAGGTGCTTTAGCAGGGAAGGAGGGAAGGGAACTGCAGAGGACAGAGTATGACAAATCTAGAGGAGACAGAACTACTCTTTCAGACATTGAGATCATGTATTGCTGTCAAGAGGACCTTCCTCATACTGTGCCTTTGAAGGGGAGGTTGTTCCTGAATCAATTTGTCTTCATTGAATTTCATATTGCTGTTGTGACCTGAGGTTCCAGTTTTATTTGTATTAGCTAACGACACCTCGCTTTATGCTGGCTGAACATTTTCTTGGAATCCCTTCAGCTCTCTCATCAAAGTAATGAAGTAATATGTTAAACAACACTGAGCCTGAGATAGGATCATTAGCAAAGGTAGCTTCATGGAACAACGCAATCATTCATTTTGCTGAAATGGGAACATCAAAGCTAAGTGGCATTACATACCTGAATAGTGGATACTGGGGGTATGCAACGTGGAAAGACTGGCTCCTTGATATCCTTCCTGATAGCTTCTTAGGTCATGAACTGACTTGACACAGTTGGAAATTGAATGCTGGATTAGATGGCTTCTTGATTCAATATAGCATAGGCTCCTACCATTCATACTTTTAAGAAAATTGTCCTTATTGCATTTGCATAGGCATGCACTACTGATGAATATTTGTGTTTAATATTGACACACATTATGTGATCTTTCTCTTTTTAGAAAGCCTGAATTATCATTTATAGTAGATTTTGTGACTGAGTTACACCAGCAGCAGAACACAAAAGGAATGCAGCAAATGGTTAACCACAGCACCATATCAGAGTTCCATCTTCTGGGGTTCCAGAGTCTTCCTCAGTGGCAGATCCTATGCTTTAGTATGTTCTTACTTATCTACATCCTAACCATAACAGGCAATGTGGTCATCATTGCAGTGGTCAAGCTGGAGCCATGTCTTCATTCCCCTATGTACACTTTCCTGCAAAACTTCTCCTTCCTAGAAATCTGGTATACCACCACCATTGTGCCCAAGATGCTCAGCAACCTCCTGATAGAGAGGGCCACTATCTCCTTCAATGGGTGCATGACCCAGCTCTACTTCTTTGTCTTCTTTGGGGCAACAGAATGTTTCCTGCTGTGTGTGATGGCATATGACCGGTACCTGGCCATCTGTGACCCACTGCATTACACAGTGTCCATGAACACTCTGTTCTGTACCCGCTTGTCCATAGGAACTTGGGGTATTGGTCTCTTCACAGGGTTGTTGCCATCTTTGCTGATCTCCAGACTAAGTTTCTGCAGATCCAATCAAGTGAACCATTTCTTCTGTGACATCCCACCTTTGCTGAAACTCTCCTGCTCTGACACTTCAGTCACGGAGACAACCGTCTTTCTGCTCTCTGTATTGGTCCTTTTCACTTGCTTCCTGCTTACCCTGGTGTCATATGTATTCATCATCTTGACTGTCCTGAAAATCCCTTCTGCTTCTGGAAAGAAAAAGACCTTCTCCACCTGTGGTTCACACTTGGCTGTGGTGGTAATATATTATGGCACCATGATCTCTACGTATGTTCGCCCCAGTGCTAGCCTTTCATCAGAACTGAATAAGGCAGTCTCTGTCTTCTACACTGTGGTGACCCCACTTCTCAACCCTGTAATATATAGTTTGAGGAACAGAGATTTCAAAGAGGCCCTGCAAAAACTGGTCAAGAAGAAACGTGCCCTATTCAATAGATAAAACTGAAAATAGTGGCCTTTTTACCATTGATTTTAGTTGATGGTAGGAGTTTTTTCACATTCTTGGCTTTTACACTATATTTTCTTATAGCACTTAGTACATTTTCTTGAACTTTACCATAGATGGTTAAGCAAAGAATGTCACAGTATATTTGCAATCACATGGTTCTTGTCAATTTGTTGCAGTAATGGTACTAAAACCAGTCACTGTCAAAGTAAGTCAGTTTGCAAGTTGAATCTGGTAAGTTAAGAATGGCTGAATGAATAATGAGACTTAAGTGCAATCAAAGCTTAATATTTCCATAATTCAAGTCAGTATTTGTTCCCTTGTCCATGTGAATTTAATCAATGGGAGAAAAATGTATGTATTACTAAGTTGTGTATTTCAAAGATGTGCACAATTGATGTATTCTTTTGGTGAAATACTCCTAGAAATAACAACAACAACATAGACGCTCAAGTTAAACATGCACGCACAAACTCACAATCTGACATAGACCGAAGTCTGAACAACCTTCAAATTGAAATTTGGAGAAGGTCAATGAGTTCATGCAGCATCTGATTTATACATTCCTCATACATTTTTCCATGTTTAAGATGCTTAGGAGTTCCATTGAAATCAGTGAGTTATGCCCCACTTATTTCTATCAGAATTAGGTGCATCTAGTGGCAATCTGTTGTTGTTTCTTGCTGGCACAATATCATGTAGTGTCATATATACCTACAGTGTCAATTTAAAATAAACTACACATGAACATCACCAGACGGTCAACACAGAAATCAGATTGACTACGTGCTCTGCAGCCAAAGATGGAGAAGCTCTATACAGTCAGTAAAAACTAGACCAGGAGCTGAATGTGGCTCAGATCATGAGCTTCTGGTTGCAAAATTTAGGCTTCAGTTGAAGAAAGTAAGGAAAAGCACTAGGCCACTCAGGTATGACCTAAATCATATCCCTGATGAATATACAGTAGAGGTGACAAATAGATTTAAGGAAGTAGATCTGATAGACAGAGTGCCTGAAGAACTATGGATGGAGGTTCGCAACATTGTACAAAAGGCAGCAACTAAAACCATCTCAAAGAAAAAGAAATGCAAGAAAGCAAAATGGCTGTCTGAGGAAGCTTTACAAATAGCTGAGGAAAGAAGGGAAGTGAAAGGCAAGGGAGAAAGAGATAGATACACCCAACTGAATGCAGAATTCCAGAGAACAGCTAGAAGAGATAAGAATGCCTTCTTAAATGAACAGTGCAAAGAAGTAGAAGAAAACAATAGAATAGGGAGGACCAGAGATCTCTTCAAGAAAATTGGAGATAGGAAGGGAACATTTCATGCAAAGATGGGCATGATAAAGGGCCAAAATGGCAGGGACCTAACAGAGGCAGAAGAGATTTAGAAGAGGTGGCAAGATTACACAGAAGAACTATACAAGAAAGAGCTCAACGTCCCTGATAACCATGATGGGGTGGTCACTGACCTCGAGCCAGACATCCTGGAAAGTGAAGTCAAATGGAAGTCTGAGCCTTAGGAAGTCTGAACAACAACATTGAACAAAGTCTGAGTAACAACAAAGCTAGTGGAGGCGACAGTATTCCAGCTGAGCTATTCAAAATCGTAAAAGTCGATGCAGTAAAAGTGCTACACTCAATATGCCAGCAAATTTAGAAAACTCAACAGTGGCCACAGGATTGGAAAGGTCAGTTTACATTCCCATGCCAAAGAAGGGCAATGACAAAGAATGTTCAAACTACTGCACTATTGCACTCATTTCACATGCTAGCAAAGTTATGCTCAAAATCCTACAAGCTAGGCTCTAGCAGTATGTGGACCGAGAACTACCAGAAGTACAGGTAGGAGTTCGAAGAGGCAGAGGAACTAGAGATCAAATTGCCAACATACGTTGGATCATGGAGAAAGCTAGGGAGTTCCAGAAAAACAGCTACTGCTTCATTGACTATGCTAAAGCCTTTGATTGTGTGGATCACAACCAATTGTGGCAAGTTCTTAAAGAGATGGGAGTACCAGACCATCTTATTTATCTCTTGAGAAACCTATATGCAGGTCAAGAAGCAACAGTGAGAACTGGGCACGGAAACACTGATTGGTTCAAAATTGAGAAAGGAGTTCGGCAAGGCTGTATACAGTCTCCCAGTCTATTTAACTTATATGCAGAGCACATGAGAAAGGCAGGGCTAGATGAATCACCAGTTGGAATTAAGCTTGCTGGGAGAAATATCAACAACCTCAGATATGCAGATGATACCACTCTAATGGGAGAAAGTGAAGAGGAACTAAAGAGCTTCTTGATGTGGGTGAAGGAGGAGAGCGCACAAGTTGGCTTGAAACTCAGCATTAAGAAAACTAAGATCATGGCATCCTGTCCTCTCACTTCCTGGCAAATAGATGGGAAGAAATGGAGGTAGTGACAGATTTTATTTTCCTGGGCTCCAAGATCACCACAGACGGGGACTGCAGCCAAGAAATTAAATGACGCTTGCTCCTGGGGAGGAAAGCTATGGCAAATCTAGACAGCATACTAAAAAGCAGAGACATCACCCTGCCAACCAATGTGCGTATAGTCAAGGCTGTGGTTTTCCCAGTTGCAATGTATGACTGTGAAAGCTGGACCATAAGGAAGACTGAGCACAAAAGGATTGAGGCCTTTGAATTGTGGTGCTGGAGGAGACTCCTGCAAGTCACTTGGACCGCAAGGCGATCAAACTGGTCAGTCCTTGAGGAGATCGACCCTGACTGCTCTTTAGAAGGCCAGGTCCTGGAGATGAAACTCAAATACTTTGGTCACCTAATGAGAAGGAAGGACTCCCTGGAGAAGGGTCTAATGCTGAGAACAATAGATGGCAAAAGAAAAAGGGGACGACAGAGGATGAGGTGGCTGGATGGAGTCACTAAAGCAGTTGTTGTGAGCTTGAGTGGACTCCGGGGGATGGTGGAGGACAAGAAGACCTGGAGGAGTGCTGGGGTCACGATGGGTCAGACATGAATTTGCGACTAACAACAACAACATAATCTTGTCATTTACATATATTATCATCAGATTTGGATACTTCTAAATAAGCGATAACCCACATGGAATTTTAGGTAGTAAAATCAAGTGAAAGGACTGCATAGGAATTAGATAAATTTGCATTTCTGTTAGGATTTTAGGTTGAATAGAGGTTTACTTGTACTTAGAGTTGTTCCATTCATATCAATGAGACTTAATTTAATCATGACTAATCTAAGGACCATTTATTTCAGTGATTATACAAATAGGACTAATACAGGTCAGAGTAGATATATTTATTTCTTGCAGCCATTACTCAATATTATTATGCATCAGAAACAATGAAAAAGAACTTAACAGGTGAATAAATGAATGAATTCATAAATTGCAAACCTTCATGTCCCTGAAGGTTTGCAAACCTTCATGTCCCTGTGAGACATATCTCTGTTTCTCCAGGCATCTTAAGCTGTACTGTCCTCAGCCCTTTCTTATCCACAAAGCCAAGTTTCCAATTCCCACAGAGCAGGTAATCTGATTTTCAGCATCCCACAACTAGTTTTTGTGGCATTAATTGGAACCCCCTGCCCCATCATCATCATCATCATCATCATCATCATCATCATCATCATTTTGTGGGCAAAATATGAGTGACAATAGTTCAGCCATTTTGGAGTGGGAGGAGCAGGAACTGAATGGCTGGCACATTTCTATTTTTAGCCCTAAATGAAAGAAAATTACTAGGTTTATGGCTGTTTATTAGCACATAGACACTTTGCAATCCATTGGTTTATACACTGGTTTGGATCTAGTTTTAGGCATGTGCAGCTTATCTGATAGAAGCAGACTTCTCATGCCTCATGCCTCTACTTTATCCTGAAAATGCAATAACAAGATTCAGGGGTCCCTGCTGAATGCGGTAAACTGAGGTGCAGGGAAAGCTGTCCCAAAACTGGGTGTGGGGGTACTTCCATGAGGGGAGCCCTCCCATCCACTGAAGGCAGATCTTTGATTCATTTCCTGGAGTCTGGAAATTAATAGGAAATTCTCCTTCTTGCTATTATGTTTTTGAATGCCTCATGGACCTTGGCATTTCTCAAGCTATAGATGAAAGGGTTCAGAAATGGTGTCACCACACAGTAGAACACAGACACTACTTTGTCCGAATCATGAATGTCCCTCACTGAAGGCCTCACATACATATAGATGACTGAGCAATAATATATTAATACTACACTAACATGGGCTGTACAAGTGGAGATTGCTTTATGTCTTCTTCCAGTGGATGGCATCTTCAATACAGTTACAATGATTTTGACGTACGATGCTGTTATCACAAGAAAGCAACCCAAGACCATGGAAGAAATACACATGAAGAAGGCAAATTCAATGAACGATTTGTCACCACATGGAAGAATCAGTACTGGGGCTAGATCACAAAAGAAATGGTTGATCACATTGGGCCCACAGAAATCAAGCCTAAAAAGAACAATGGTTGGGGGCAATGGGGCAAGCAACCCTCCAAACCAACATCCAAGGATCAAGAACCTGCAAACTCGACTGCTCATTATGGTAGTGTAATTCATAGGGTTGCAAATGGCTAGATAGCGGTCATAGGCCATCATTACCAAGAGGAAGTTCTCTGTAAGCCCCAGAAAGAGGTTGAAATAAAGCTGTGTGAAGCAACCAATGGGGCTGATAATCTTTTTGTCCTTTAAGAAGTCAACCATCATTTTTGGGATGGTATTTGTCATGTGTCCTATTTCCATCAAGGATAAGTGGCTAAGGAATAAATACATGGGGATTTGGAGCTGCTGATGAAGCTGGACAATGGTGATTATTGTGACATTCCCACTTATGGTTAAGATGTAGGCCAACAGGAAGAGTACAAGAAGAAAAATCTGGAGTCCAGCAGTGTTGGAGAAGCCTAGGAGGATGAATTCATTCTTAGAAGTTTGGTTTTCTGAAGTCATTCCTTTATTTTTTTTATTCTGGGTTTGTTTAATCCATGATCATTTCCCCTTAAAAATTGAACAAAATTAATTTATCGTTAAAAACAGGCAGCAAAAACAAAGCCTCTTATAAGCAACAATTGATCATTCTGGATTCTAGCATAATGTACTTGATGTAACAGGGACTATATAGAGCATGACACACATGTATTGGTGTGTGTATGAGTTTTCAGCATGTTTGTTGTCATTGTTGTGCCATGCTCTGGAGAGATGGGAAGAAAAGGGAAGGAAGAGAAGGTGCAGGAGAAGGTTAGATATTTTAAAATATAAAAACATATCACAGGAGATCACCAGGGCAGAGTGCCAGTTCACTCCCACCACAGTTCATTTTTGCATATGGACTTAATTCCATATCAATGGATGTTTGCACTTTACTCCTAAGGGGACAAATGAACTGCTGTAGGTGGTCACAATTTGCAAAAAGGGCAAATCTCTCTTCCAGCTCTAACTGGATTTCCTGTCTTTAATTAGTAAGAAATCTAACATGGTTCACAATCATTCCCAGCTCTCCTTGCACTACAAATGTCCTTCTTCCATGCACTCTATTCCCATCAATAAATCTTAGGACTGATTTTTAAAAACAATTGAAGCAGGAGAGCATTGAGCAGTGTATTCTCATGCATGTTTCCATGGACACAAGGAGTTGAATTTAATGGGGTTTACTCTCAGGTAACTGTACATAGATTACAGTCCTAAAAAGAAACCTCCACTCCACAGATGTTAAGAATGAAAACAAGAAATGCACACAAGAAATCTAATCTAGCGTGCTAATGACCACACCACAATATTTCTAAGAACTAGTGTAATAATAAAGATTGGGGACTGGGTTGGTTATTCCAAGCTCCTCAGAGTAAGGGCAACTTCAAATCAAAGGACTGAATGGATATGCCCCATCCCTGGTGATTTTGCATGGTAAGGAACACAAAGCTGCCCCATTCCTTCATAGAAAGCAAGTTGTAGAAGGGCACTTCAAAGGTATCCAGCATCTTCATTCCTCCCTGTTTTCTTTTTACTCTGTACTTTCTTCAAGCAAAGACTCTCATGAAGTGTATGACTTTTTTCTGGCCAGTTTGTGAACCTGTGCTTTTAACAGCTGTTCCACCTGCAGATATGATGGGATGTTAAAGCTACTTTTTTCTCCAAATCAAGCTGCTGAACACACTAGCCTATTTCCCCAACCAACCAAATTGATACAGCAGTAAAAAATTTGTGATGTCAGATTCACCAGCCTGGTTTTCTCTACCTCCAGACATGACTCTTGGCACAGTTCTCACACAATTGCAATGAAAACAACAAGATGCTCAAGTTCTTTTCAGCATTCTCAGTGGGGAATGACTGCTGAGGTCTGAAAGCAGCATCTTGAAATGGGACAGTGCTGCTCAGCGCCTAACAAGGTGGTGTACCTTAATCATAAACTAGAAGACGAAATTTTGATTTGCATATTTTGAATGTTGTACAAGCAGACCCCGTAGGCCAGTTATTCTACAGCAAATATTATTTGAAAGTATTTTGTAGTAGTACCTCCAAAAAGGGTTTTCTTCATATGTGTGTGGGTGTGGGCAACCACCTGTGTGTGCATGTGTGTATCTGGGCTAATGTAAGTGGAATGGATGAAGTGCACATATGACCAATGTCATGAAACATACGTATATAATCTGTTCTGAAACAGGATTTGACACATTCTCTGGCTATTATGAATAATCTCACATGGGCCTTGAGGAATGTGCATATATTAACTGTAGTGGTTCCAGTTTTACTTAATATTTTGCTTAATATCTGGTGCAGTATTCCCTCTTCATTAACAAGTCATGTGCACATTATTAATGATGTGTGGTGAATGTGCCCAGTGATTCCTTTTTGCATATTAATGCTTCCACTCACATTAGCCTCTATGAAGTTCCTGTTACACAGCCACAAGCTGATGATTTCACAGTACCCTGCTCCATTTCAACATAGCCCCGATGCATCGTATCCATGTGCAACCTGACATAGCTCAAAGCTGTTTACCAGTAATTATGCCACACATGAGGATGAAGCAGGTCTTATGAGTTCTCCTCACTGATTCTGTATCCCTTTAACACACACACGTAGGCACACACTGAATCAGAATCTTTTCTCTCAGCAAAGTACCAACTAAAGGAGAGAAAAGGACACTCTCTGTGCCCTCCCTAAGAGAACAATTTTAGTATGATGGAATCATATCAGCAAAAAGCAATTCCCTGACAGCTGTTAACATGTGCGACACTCTCATTGCATTTTTAGGGACCAAAACAATCTCTCCCACCCACCCCAGTTTGTCTCTTTATGAAGCAATTGGTCTTCACTGCATCTTCAAGCAGACCATCTAGCAGAACCACCCATGGGCCAGCTTATATATTTTTGGTGCCTGAGATAGATACATACTGAAATGGTATAAATAACATCTAAACAGTGCATAATAATTAGAAACACAAATTATAGTGTGTTATTAATTAACAGTATCCTGGTCATATGTAACACCTGACTCAACAGCTGCATACAGCGAACACACGAAAGAGTTCTGCAATCACCAATTATTATGGCCAGTGTCATATCTTTGAGTCCTACTTTAAGTAAAAGCCAACACTTAACACTGGGAACTAACATGAAGCAGAATGAAAGCATCCTCTGAGCAACTCACGCAACTTTTTCCCACTGCTGATAGACTATGACTATACCCACAATTTGTTAAGTATGAGACAGAATTTTCCAGTATGATGAGAGAAGAGATACAAAAAGCTGGCTTACCTGCTCGATCTCCTTAACTATTAGGGCCATAGGAGATCTATCCACCCAACTTCTTCAGTAAATAGATGAATAATCTGAATACGCTAACCAGTGCAGATATGTGAAAGTGCATTCAATTCCTGTCAAGGATGTAAAATGCCTACAGTGTGCAAGGTAAAACCAAAGTGGCTCTCAACAAATCATTAAATACTGTGCAACTCTGAAGCATAAAATAAATACATCTACCCCAACCTAAAGGGAGATGGCAGAGCTAAATGTATAATGTAGAAAACCCATCAATATTGCTTGGTCCTGTTCTTCAGAAATTCTAAATAAAGTTTATGAGTTGGACATCTATTCCAGTTTCCGATGCAGTGGGATAAAGACAATTGATGGTATATTTGCATCTGAAGTACTTTTTTTAAATGTTTTAAATTTCCGTAGAGATCCTCCATTGGCTCATAGGAACCGATTAATGAGTTATCCATGGGAAATGTGTGTAATGCACATCTTTGATTATCCTCTTGCTATCCGTGTTATACATAAGCGGGCAGGGAGGGAAGCAGAACTGCATTAGAAAAAATTTATTTCTGTATTCCTCTACAAGTCACATCACCTACTTCTGTAAGTATCTGAGGAGATGCAGGCATTTGGGAGCATTTTCTGTGCAGCATTATAAATGTCACATTTGTTGTTGCTGCTGTTTTTAAAAGTCTCTTTAAGATCTAAAAATATAAAATAGTCATTATCAGGCTATCAGCAAACAGTTTCCATCATTGCCAGCTGGGTTTCAGGATAATTCCATGATGATTTGTATCATACTGCTCTCACGTGGGCCACTTCTGCTTCCTGAGTCCCAGAATATCCATGGGAATATCTCTTGATCTTCTGTTTTTTCCATGGGCATTCCAGGATATGCATGCAGCAAAATAGACCACATAACAGTGCTATGTTATTGCTTTTCTCTTCTCCCCGATCCCCAGAAAAAATAATATTTATTACAGTGGTTGATCACAAAGAACCCCTGTGTGCTGCTTTTCTCTGTCATTTTAAACGAACATGCGTTTAAGATTAGGTTTAGGCAAACCTCCCTATGCATATTAAAGGATTATGGTTTGGATCCAGGTTAACTAGCTTAGAGGGACAGACAGTGCAGGTGTTCAACCAGGACACAAATTCATTCTGAATTTTGGTGGAATGCACAAAGAACATTTCTGGATGTAAGGTTGAAGATTTAGCTTAAGGGTTAGAGGTTGGGGTCAGGTTGGGAAAATCTGGAACCGTTTGTTTGTCCAATGGTCACAGGCCATTTTAGATTGTTCAAATATACTAAATGTTCAAGAACCTCCTGCATTATTAATTATTTTGTATTGCCTAAATATTGGCATTCTACTTGGATCATAGGATTGAAATGCAGCTTCATTTTAGGAATTGAAAATTGGTTTGAAAATTCCTGATCCATATGTATTTTATGGGCCTAGAGTCAGCTTAGAAAGGGCAGACACTTTCAGTGCTGAACCAAAACCCAATTAGAATTGGGTTTTGCAACAAGTTTTGACAGGGCAAAATGTGTCAGTATTCAACCAGAACTCTCTTTGTAGGAACTTCTTGAATGTATATGGAAGGCATGGTGACCACACCTGGATCCAATTTTGGTGGCTTAGCTTTCTGCCATGGCTGGGGTTGGGTTAGGAATATGGTCCTCTTATTGTTCAGGGTGAGGGTTTGGTGAAGGTGAGAGCTATCATTGGGTTTGAATAAGGACTAGGAAAATTTGAGTTCTAATGCATATCATACCTTAGAATATTCAACCACAAAGAATGATCAGCATGAATGCCCTGTTTTAAAGATCTTTTAAATATGGGCATTATGCCTGAGTCTTAGGGGAGTAATCTTACGTTTAGGGTTTCAGTTAGGAAATCTATAGTTACTATGCATTTTATGGGGCCTCAAACCAGCTTTGGGCAAAAAATGTCAGAGGCGAACCAAAAATTCCTTAGCACTGTCCTTCTGAATCATGGTTCAATGTATAGGAAAATGCCTGTATGTAAATTTTGGGATTGATCTTTAGGGACAGGGATGGGACAGGGATGGAGTTAGGGTTACGATGCACATCATGAGCAGAGTCAGCTGGAGCCAGGGATCAGAATTCTGACTCACTCTGTTTCTATGCTTCTATGAATGATCAATGAGTGAGTGATTAGCAAGAATGTCCTGTGTGCTATTCTTTTTTCTTATTTGACTGAGTATGTACATTATAACCAGAAATTAGTTTCATCTTAGGGTTCGGGTTAGGAAAACATAAGGCCTTTCCATGACTATGTGCCATTAAATAGTGTCAATTGGGCAGAAAGTATGAGAAATCATCAAGAAAATGGTGAGTATTAAGGAACTTTATACATATTGTGGGAATATAGACAAAATATCCATGGGTATTAGAGTTAGGTTCCAGCTTCAGGTTAGGTTCTGGATTTATAAAACTGGGTCCCTGTGCATGTACAAGGACATGAAAACCACTTAGGTTGTGCAAGCATAGCCACTGAACAAGAAAAACTAACCTAGAAGAATTTGTCAAGATTCTACCTAGTTCTTATCATTTAAATTATACTTCATTTTAGAATTTGGGTTATTAAAACCTTGCTCTCTGTCCCAAATTGAGTCCTGTTAGATTGAGGAGAAAGTTTCAGTGTTCAGTCTGCTTCAGGTGAGTTTTCTGAATGTAGGTGGAATGTACAGCAAAGGTACCTTGATGTGAGGTTAGGAGTTTAGCATTAGAGCTGGGGTTAGGGTTAGGGTTGTATCTGGGACTGGGGCTACAACTGGGACCAGGGAAAACTGATCCCCAGGGCATATGCTGCAACCACAAAATACCATACATATTGAAAAACATGAAAGATCCATATCAGGGTTGCCATGTGTGTACATGAAGGCAAGACCATTTCACAAGCCATGCTAATGACTTCTCTCCAAGAGGCATCTCTTCCTTCAACCATTATCAGCAGAAAGCTGTGCTGAGAATGTTTTGTCAAGCTTTTTCTCTTTTCTCCCCTTCTCACTCCTGTTGTTGTTGTTGTCGTTGTTGTTGTTGTTGTTATCCCCCTTGCAGGCTGTGTTTTTTAGATTGAGGCTATGGGTAGAGGTTTAATAAAATGATATATAAGCTGCTCCAGGTACCTTCTTCACTGAGCAGTGGCCTAAAAATCTTCAAAGAAATAATGATAAAGAAATACAAATGATTACATTTATGTGGGTCCCTATGTGTTTATGTGTATGTGCTCATGCAGTTGCCATCTCCCAAGCCAGCATCACATACTACACTGCTTCCTCCTTAAATCCTCTTCTTCATGTATGCCATACGGACTTTTATTGAGAATTCATTTGTTCACATTATATTCTTTCCTTAAAGGGCAGCTAATATTGTAAGAAATATGGGCTTGCCTCCTAAAGTTCCAAAGGAGCTTTCTTTCATGGAATGAGAGTTCAAGTAATGGAAGGACACCTTTTCCTCCTGAAATAGCTTTTATTTGATTGAAGATTATGGAAATGTTGAATCCAAGCCATATGGATTCAATAATTCCTCCCAATATATTAGGGAAAACTTGGATGAGTAATTGCAAGTTAGTATGTCACATGTGAGTTGTGGTTACTGAATAGCTACTGCTGAAATACAATATTATTGGAAAGGGGATTTTCAATTTGAATAAAAACAAATGTAAAACTATAAATACAATTTTCAGCTAGGACAATGAAACAGGCTTCCTTCCAACTTTGGAGCCACTATTAAAGTACAGAAAGATATCTAAACTGGAAAAAAATACATTTTAATTCCCACACATTCCTCTTATTTATTACGCTCTACTACTTTTTCTCTGAAAATCCATGTCCCTTCATGTCTCCGTTCTTCAAGAGGATTGCACACCTAATGAAAGCTGCCTTCATAGCCTGCTTTACCTGGTGGTTTCTCAAACTGAAGATGAACGGGCTCAGCACAGGTGTCAGCACAGTATTGATCAAAGAAACAATCTTATTAATTGATGGGTTACTGCCTGAAGGTCGTACATATGTGAAAATGCAACTGCCATAGCCAAGAGAGACAATCATCAAGTGTGAAGAGCAAGTGGAGAATGCCTTGCGTCTTCCTGAGGCAGATGGAAGTTTGAGAATGGTTGCAATTATGTAAGCAAAGGTCACCACTGTGAAAATTAAAGAACTCAGAAGAGTGGCTGAGGATGAAAAGAAACTTATCAGCTCTGCAAGACTAGTGTCAGAGCAAGCTAGTTTCATCAAGGCTAGGCTGTCACAGAAAAAGTGGTCTATGTGGTTGCTTTGGCAGAAAGGAAGCCTTGCAACTAGGATGGTTGGGAGAAGAGTGGCCAAAAAGCCAGCAGCACAAGAAGTCACAGTGAGAAATAGGCAGAGTTGAGTACTCATAATTGATGCATAGCGCAGTGGATTACAAATGGCCACATAGCGGTCATAGGACATCACTGCTAGAAGGACAAAGTCACTACTTCCTAAGAAGAAGAAGAAATAGCACTGGGAAAGGCAAGCTGGGTATGAAATGGTTTTGAAGCCTAGTAAAAGGCTTGTCACCACCTTTGGCACTACACAGGTTGTAATTAGGATCTCTAAGCAGGAAAGATTCCATAAAAAATAGTACATGGGGGTGTGTAGATGATGGTCATGAATGATGATGAAAATAATCAAGATGTTTCCAGCTAAGATGATCAGGTAGGATGCAAGCAGGAGCAAACCCATGAGAAATTCTAGTTGATGCAGTTCAGGAAAATCAAGCAGAATGAAGTCTGTAATGGTAGTGTGATTCTCCTCCATTCCTGGGAGAAGCAAGTGAAGAGGTTATGAAAATAATTAGCAATGCACCAGACTATGGAAAAGAAAATCAAAAAAATACAGAAGTTGGTCTGCAACAGTCATACCCAGGCAAGCCATCCCACCATCAATGCATTCTTTTTTGTTGTTTCTCTCTCTCTCTCTCTCTCTCTCTCTCTCTCTCTCTATATAAATAAATAAATAAATAAATAAATAAATAAATAAATATAATTATAATTCATTCCACTTATTTAAAAATGTACATTAATATACTTATGGGTCCTTCTTGTCTCCAGACGAAGCATGTAGAAAAAGGCATAAAAGATGAAAAGATACACAAAGTATCATGGAAGATGAGTTGAGATACTGGAGTGGGTAAAGAAGAAAGCACAAAGCAGAGGAACAGCTGACAAATACAGATAATGTAACTATGAAAAGAAAGTTCTACATTGAGATTAAGAAAAGCATAAAGGGACTGTGGGTCTATCTCAAGAAAAAAAAGTTCTTTCATTTTTCTTGCAATATGACTTTCTGAAGCTCCCTGATTGTGATTCATGGTTTGGAAAGGAGCATGAGAAGGGAGACAAACTTCTCTGTAAGGAGACACACATTACAAGGGTACCGCCAGTCTAAGCTTGCTAATTGAGATAGAGGATTCCTCCCATTACAGCCAGCACTTTTAGAAGCCTTCCTGCAACATTCAGGCAAATCCTGCCTTCATCTACTCACCTTTGTCTGAACAACTCACTGTGCTGCTTAGCAAGTCTGGTCTTCCTTGGGGACTTGTAGAAGTTTCTGTTATGTTCAGTAATTTCAATTTTTCTGTTATGTCTGATAATTCCAAAAACATTCATTGATAAAATAACTAAAAATGGCACTGTTCTTTGCAGCTGACATGACACCAATATTTTGAACTGTCAGGCTGAGAATACAACAGAGTTTATTTTAAAATATGAAAGGCAAGATGTGACTCATGTCATCCATGCTTTGTATGTTGCTATGGCCCTTCTGCCATGAAAGCAGATCTTGACCCAAAGTGAGTTTCTGCCAATCCTCAGCTCCTAAAGAAACACAGATGCCTTTAAGAAATTGGCATTTGTCCAAACGTAGAGAGATATTGCAGGTTTGGATTTTGTCTTTTTGCAATCTCTCACAGTTCAGAGGAACCCCAAATGAAATTACTCTTGCAGACTATTCATTGCATTCAAGCATTCACTGAGATGTTATCCTTGCTTCACATTGACCTGCATGGTAGTTTTTGCCTTCAAAGTCCTTCTGAAAGTATAGTGTAATGCTAATTGTCCTTCTTCTCTCTGCTTCCTACAACACCTCAGACAATTTTGTAATGAAATGCCTCTATCAAGATGGTTAAATAGAATCTGTTCATAAGGGTATTCACATGAGACTGTTAAACTCTGTTCAGAGATTTGGCTATCATGCAATATAGCACAATAAAATACTGTTTTGCTAAAATAAAGATGATTTTAGTCATGTCACTGTGCTAAGCTTCCAGCTTGAACTTGCTACTGCTAATTATATCAAAGGTATCAGTATTTATTTCTGTTGCAGTTTGGGTTCTTTACTGTATCCATTAAGAAATCCATTATGCTCACTTTAAAAAAAAAAAAAGTAAACAAACCTAACAAGAAAGGAATATAAATAAGCAAACGAATGACAAAAATTCCAGTAGACCAACTAATAAATATTGATTAAAAATTAGAGACAAATTCAGCACTCCATTGCTACATTAAATGAATTAGTAAATATAAATAAACAACTCAAACCCATTGAAATGGGAGAAATTTTGGTGCCTAAAAGATACACAAGAAGTTATTAGAGGCATATCCTTGTGGAAGGAGCTACAGATGCAGCACAACAGGGATGGGTGAAAAAAATGTTTGTTGAATAGATTTACCCATTTGTCCCTCTCCAACTTTTCATTGAGCTAAGACAGAATTATGTTCCAAAGTCTGATTATTTATGAGTTTTCCAATTAAGTTTGTCTCAGGAAAAAAGCATACACACTGTGCATATTTTGTAAAAGTGTGGACAAAATCATGCACTTAGAAAAACATACAGCAAATGTTCAAATTTCTATACAGTTGTTTTTCAAAATCCACATCCAGAAATGAGATGGAAAGAAGGGAAAGGAAGGGAAGGGAAAACAAGATAGACAAGAAAGTCAGTGTTGCATAGAGATAGAGTCCTGAACTAGGATTCAGGAGATTCATGTTTGAGTCCCCACTTGGCCATGAAGATCACTGAGCGGGCTTGGTCCAGCTGCTGACTCTCAGTCTAGCCCAGTAGTTGAGATTACTGAAGAACCCTTCTCAATGTGAAAAATCAGCACAAAACCCACCAATAGTGACATTTCATGTAACTAATTTTATTTGAACTAAATGTTACAATTAAAATTGCAACAATACATTTCATACAATGCAAACAGAAACTTTTCATAAATGCATCAATGAACACATTCATTACTGATGATGATGTCTGTCCATCGTTTTTGATGAGGACCTTGACATCTAACGGATTGTGAGTTGTCCATGGTGTGTCCGCAGGTGGCTGATAAGGCCAATATGGGCACGGAATGTTCTGCCACATGTCAGGCAGACATGTGTGGGCACCACTGTTGCAACGTTTGCAACTCTGGCTTTACGGAGTGCTCGCTTCTCTTGTGCTATGGTTGTCCTTCTGGCTTCAGAATTTGGCAGTCTTGGTGGATCAGCATGTGCCATGTCTATTAGTCTTGTGCCAGGGTCTCCCAGGAAATGGTGTCAATAGCCAGGGACTTGAGAGAAGCTTTCAGCATGTCTTTGTATCACTTCTTTTGTCCCCCGTGCGATTGCTTTCCTTGAGACAGCTCACCATAGAAAAGCTGTTTGGGGATGAGGTGGTCTGGCATCCTTGCAACATGGCCTGGCCAGCGCGTCTGGGCTTTCATCAGCAGGGTGCGAACTGATGGCAGGCCTGCTCTGGAGAGGACCTCTGTGCCTGGCACCTTGTCCTGCCACCGGATCCTCAAAAGTCTGTGGAGGCAAGTTGTGTGGAAGTGGTTCAGCTGCCTAGCATGCCTCCTGTATACTGTCCAAGTCTCACTGGCATACATCAGTAAGTTAGCACTACTGCTCGGTAGACTTTAAGCTTTGTAGCAAGGCTTATTCCATGGCAGTCCCACACTTTGATCTGCAGTCTGCCGAATGCAGAGCTTGCCTTGGCGATTCTGCAGTTGACCTTGACGTCAATTGTCACTGCGTGGGAAAGGGTGCTGCCAAGGTATGTAAATTGGTCCACTGCTTGCAGCTTTTGTCCCTTCACTGTGATGGTGGGCTCTAGGTATTGGGCTTTCGGAGCTGGCTGATGCATCACTTTGGTTTTCTCTGTGTTGATGAGGAGGCCGAAGTTGTCACATGCTACTGCAAATTTGTCCATGCTGGCTTGCATTTCCTGCTCTGATCAGCATTCAGGGCACAGTTGTCAGCAAAAAGGAGGTCTCATAGCACAGTCTCCTTTATCTTGGTGACAGCCTGGAGTCTTCGCAGTTCATTGCATTCATTACTACTTATCTAAATAATACTAAATTTACTGAATACATAATCCATAATATGGTGATCCATAACACCAGCAATAAATAATATGAAAAAAATATACTTCATGTTAATGACTTGGGTGTGCTTGTTCTTTGCCACAAAGGAAATCAAAATTTGGTGTTATTTATGACAGTTACAAGCTTATTTCTGGTTCTGCATTCATTTCTTTCCTATATTAAGTCCATGTGGTCATTATTTCTTGTGTTTGTCTCTTGGCTCTTAAAGTCATTAAGGTAACTTTGCTTATTTTTTACATTGTTAGACCACCAGTAACATACATTCTCTGTGCAGTATACATAAAAAGGACAATAAAAAGTAAGGATTAAATATCACAAAATAAAACCAGCAGAGAGACAGAAAACATGAAAAGGTTAAAGATAAGATGTCCCACTCTGCTGCATTTCACATGTGCATTAACATGTACATCCAGCTTTGGTCAACCTTAGAGTAGACCCATTGAAACCAACAATATGTAAATTAGTCTTTGTCTAGCAAGTCTGGATGAATTCGGTGGCTCTACAATGGGGAAAGCTGATGGGTAAAGCCAGTCTCACTGGTGTAAGTCCACTATTGTAATAGGGTAGTAGGGTTTTCACTCTCTCCCCTGATATCTATGAATCTCTGCTAGAGAATTTATGAGCCTTCCAGATCACAATTTGAGGTGATGTGGGAGACTGGGACAGAAGAGGAATTCCCCCCTTCCTAGTTGGTGGAGCTGCTTCTATCACGAGAATGACAAATTTCAATGCAAAGCGAAGTTTGATTTCGGCTCAATGGCTAATCAGAACATTGACTGTGACAGTTTCATACTATACACATTTCTGCCTGTGTTGGGAGACAAAATAATATGTAGGAGAAATATAATCAAATAAAGGCTGTCTGAGATTCAGTTAATTTTGTTCTATCCACTGTACAGTAATAAATCTGGCTTCATTATAAAAAATAAACTCATTAGGTAGCTTTCTAATACATTTCTCTCTCTTTCCCTCCCCCTCTCTTTCTCTCTCCAAATTGTTTGTAATAGTTGGGCAACTTGTGGTTCTTCAGACGTTTTGGTGTACTCATTCCATCAGCCCTAGCTTGTATAGTCTATAGTGAAAGGTTATAGAAATAGTAGGCCAAAACAAATGAAATTCACATGTTGCCTGTCACTAGAGCTGTACACCTTAATATCTTACATTAACAAAAGGTAAAAGTTACCTGCAAGCATAATTTTGATGTCCCAACAGGAATACAACCTTCACTTTCTTCTATTGAAATAAAAAGGACATACTGGCTTTCAACAAAAATCTTGTGCTTCTGGTAATTAATTGTGAAACATCCTATTTGCAACAGTGGCCTTAAAGATGTTTCAACAAAAGGAATTATCACTGAAATGATCCAGATATATGAATAAACAAGATTAGAACTGGAAAGTTCATTCAATTTGAAGCTGACTGCATTTTTCCTATCTAATCATATATGTGAACAAATTTCCCATTAAGCATATATATCTATCACACACACACACACACACACACACACACATTTCAAGAAAAAAATGTAATGGTAATGAAAGTGAGCCATGGAAGGATTTTTAAATGTTAACTTTTTAACTTTATCTACCTTTAACATTGTTTCTAAATTAAAGAGATAGATATTTGAAAATTACTGGAAATAATAGTTTCATAGATACACCTTGACACATATTTTTAAAATGTTATTTTTAATAAATGGAGGTGTAATGATAAAGAATTAATAGATTTTTAATAACTGCAGCAAGATTAATTATAGCTAAGAATAAGAAAGTAAAATATGAATATGAATGTCTAAATATGTCTGGTTGATATAGAGAAGTTTGGAATATAGTTACTAATGATAAACTAATGATAAATTAAAGTAAGGAAAGGGGATATAAGAAAAATAAGTTTAATGATATTGGGAGGTATTTATCGAGCATGTTTTTAAAGGGGGAAAGGATTCAATCTTTGGAAGAATCATTACAGTTTTGGAAGGGGAAATGTCCTGAAGTGTTAGAATAAGTTCCTCCCCACTTTGATTTATAAAATACAACATTGGTCCTGATGGTGGCAGTGGCACTGTATCGTAAGAACTGTTTTAATTGTATATTCAACTCTTTATGTTTTTTTTGTCTTAAAATGGTGTTTTTTGTCATTGCATTTTAGAAATATTTTTTTAAATTGTCTTGAACATTTTGCTATCTAATAATCATAATCATAATTATATAAAATCAATTTCTTTATCTTTAGCCCTAAATTGTTTCTAAATTAAACACATACACATTTTGCAAATTATTGGAAATTTATTTATTCAGTAACTCCATAGATATAACCTCACACACATTTTTAAAATAAGAAAGAATAGGAGTATATGGTGTCTTTAGTAATTCTTAAATAGCTTTAATGTGAAACGGTGCATGTTATATACCCACTGCATGACTTGGGTCACTTATTTTCTCTCAACCCAGCTAATCCCAAAAGGTTTTTCTGAGGGTAAGAAAGAGAAGCATGCTTTCCTTCATTGGCAACTTGGAAAAAAGTTAAGTGGGATTGAATACAGATGAATGCACAACATCAGCCTGCTTGTTTTGCTGTCCCCAAGTACTTTTTAACTGAGTCTTTGAAAACCTCTTGGACTATCTGGTTTCTATAGGTAAATATGATGGGGTTCAGCATGGGTGTCACTGCTGTTGTGAACAGGGAGGCAATTTTATTGAGATTCATTGAGCTAGCTTGGGAAGGTCGCACATAGATGAAGACAGAGGTCCCATAGCCAATGGTGACCACTGTGAAATGGGAGGCACAAGTGGAGAAAGCCTTTTGCCTTCCTGTCGCAGAAGGGATGTGAAGAATGGTGTTTAAAATGTAAAAGTAAGAGATCAGTGTCAGGACAAGAGAACCCAGAATAACAGGGAGTGAGACAAGGAAGTCAATAAACTCCACTAGCCGAATGTCAGTGCAAGCTAAATGCAGTAAAGGGGCACTGTCACAGAAAAAGTGATTGATCACATTTGGGCCACAGTAGGGCAACCCCAGTTTCATAACAGTTGGAACAAGTATGGAGAAGAAGCCAATCAACCAAGAGCCAACAACCAGATTAATACAGACCTTTTCATTCATGATGGTGCTGTAATGAAGTGGGAAACATATGGCTACATACCGATCATAAGACATCATAGCCAGTAAAACATATTCAGAAGTGCCAAACAAGAAATAGAAGTATGACTGAGTCAGACATCCATAGAAAGAGATGTTCTTCCTTTCCAGTAAGAAGTTCTGCATCATTTTTGGTACCACTGTTAAAGTCATAAGGATTTCAATTACTGACAAGTTGCAGAGGAATAAGTACATGGGAGATTGGAGGCGGTAATCAACAGATATTAGGACAATGATGATGATGTTTCCCAGCATTGTTGCTACCAGAATTAGTAAGAATACCAGAAAAAGGAGGATCTCTGCCTCCCAGGGACTGGGGAATCCAATTAAGATGAACTCAGTCACATATGTCACATTCTTATCATGTTTCTTCATGTTTACACCATCACCTAGATAAGGAAAAACATCTTGCTATAAATTAAATTGAAACTGCTGTGGTGTCCCTTGAAGAAAACACACAAGGCATATTTTAGTGGTGCACACATTGAGTAAAAATTGACCATGAGTCAAGTTCAACTAGCCCCAGGTATACAGCTGTCCAATATGCATATCATCGAGTTTCCTCTAAGAATCAACTGGTATTCTGCATGCTATTAATTTCCTCTTTATTGCAAAACTATAGCATCTCCTTTACTATTTCAGAAGTCTTACAAATAATCCATCTCTACAGTTAAAAAAGGACATTTGAACACGATGAGAATTTGTTCCAATGCAAAACATTTGAGGAAATGAAGGCATTTGTGCACAAATTGTTGCAAAACTCTACATTAATTTATTTTTAACTGATGTATATGAAGCACTTCAAGACAATGCTGGAATTAGAAGATGCCCATAGATCTTTTGTTCTAGGACTTTTCCTAATGTAGGAGGGTATGTACTTTCTGTAGTACAGGAAAAGGATATACTTTCATATCTTCACTCTAAGGTCTGTAAGATAGGAGTTTGTCTCTCTTTCTATACTGGGTTTGTCTCTCTTTATTTTTCTTCTTACTTTAAGTACTAAATACAACGGTGAAAATACCGAGAACACATGTGGCACAATGTAGCATTCACAAACTTCAACCAAAACAAAACAAAAAACACAATACATACTTTAGTGGAAAAGTTGAATTGTATTCAGAAGCACCTACTTCCATGTAGGCTTACTGTTTTCCTGTTAAGTTTTGGATTAACAATGCAACCCTATGCATGTATTTTCAAAAGTAAGTGCACTGAGTTCAATAAGACTTACAACAAGATAAAGAGTACATAGAATTCCAGTCTAATACTTAGGTTTTAGACTGGTCAGGGGGCTCTAAACATGTTGATACCTTGAAGGATAATGATATGCTAAATTCTCTTGCTCTTTGCACCAGAGACGGAAATCTCTTGATTTACAGATATTCCTCAGCTTACAGTATACATGGATCTCTTTCTCTCTCCTTCTTTACAACCATGTGATACTCAGCATCTATAGACTTACACATCTATAGGTACCAAAACATTACACTCCTTATTTCTGCTAGACTATTATTGACCAGTTCTTGTATACAAAGCTAGACAATCAATAATTAATTTGCAAATGTACACATGCACACACAGAGAGAGACTGTGAGATAGAGATAGAGACAATAATATTAATACCTTGAATTAAGAATGTCAACTTTGCTTGCTGGACATCTAGCCATAGAAATCCATGAGTAGCATGCAGAAAGAGGAGTTAATAGCATTTAGATTTCATATCAATTTTAGCAACCACCTGCAACCAATATATTGCCCCAGATATCAAGTGCTGCACATGACAGAGTGTAAAATCTCTTCAGGAATCTTTATACCACCAGAGTAGCATAGCAAGTAGATTAGATTCAACAAACAAGATGATCACAGCTTTGAAAATATTTACACATTCCAATTTTAAAATTAAATTCTGGAGAAGCATGCAACAATTTCAATCTTTCAAGAACTTCTGGTCAACCTTCCTGGTTTTGCATATGTATCATTGCTGACTATCCCCTTTCTACTTCATATATTCCTCTGAGGCCAATCTAGTATCTAGTATGAACATACAGATAATTCCTCTTGGGACAAATACAATGTTTCCTTCAAGATATTCAAGGGTTATGAAAATGGAATTACACAAAGTACATCTATATCAGTGAAAGTTGAAGAAGAATAGAGGGACAACTAGGAAAGCATCCTGGGGCAACCTGAAGGTGTTTGGCCCTGCCCAAGACCTGCCACTGTAGGGCAGGTTATGAGGCTATGAATAGGGCAAAGATGGAATTTGGGACCAATCTGTCACATTCACTTGTGGCCATATGGTACTACATGGAGTAATGCAGAAAGGCCCCTCTTAGTACCTGCACAGGTGTGGCCTTGGGGTGCCCACCCATCACTAGCAGCAAGACAGAGCTCTCCCTGATAGTCAGCATGCTAATTAACCATAGGAACCTACATTTAGTTACCCCTGCACATTTACCCCCTTTGCAGATCATTGTTGAACTCACAAAATGTGGCCCTGTTTAAATACAGCTATGGTATCTTGACTCTTTCTTCTTGTTTGGTCTAGAAATTTAAACTTTATATTCAATTTTGAAATGTCTGTCTTTGAAGAAATCCTCATCATCATCATGAACTGGTGTGATCACCAGCTCTGGAATTCATCTTCACTTAAATGCTTTGTGTATCCCATTATTCTCATTCTTGAAAGCATGGTTAACCTTTATTTGTATTGATATGGTCCTATTTTTAATTTCTTAAAACAGTTTATTTATTTGTTGAATTTACCTCCCCCCTTCCTATATATATTCCAAAGGGTAAGACTTTACAAAAAAAAAAAAAAAAAAAAGAGAGACGTGAAATACATTCCCTGACTCACTGTGTTCCCAAAGGAAACACATAACTCCATTCTCATTAACTATATGAATCATATTAATTACTCTCTTGATCATAAAGTTCTGCTAAATGCCTATGTTAATTTCTAATACAATACTCGCACTTAAGAAAAAAAGTAACTGTCTCGAGGGAGATATTCAGAATTCAGAAGTGATATAAAGTTGATTAAACAAAGTTCAACATCATATTTCCATTAAGCACTCAATGGGGCAATAGGATGAGCTTCCTTCAGGGAAAGCATCTACTGTGGAATTCTGTAATGTCTCATTAAAAAATTAAATTGCTCATGCTTAGTGTCTAGAACACAGTGCCCTTTCTGTTAAGAGGAGTTACCAAAAGAAGTTCTGACATTTTAAGTCTGAAAAGTATATTGCTTATGAAATGAGGTGGGCTAAACTAATCATTTGAAACTTGGCATTTACCTGACTGAGTGTGCAATTGTAGAAAGGTTCAGACTGTTCTAGGAGAAATCACTACAGTTACAGAAAGTCAAAAATGCTGAAAATTGAAACATTGAAAATTTCATCCCAATTCTGTGTTACAATATGTCATATATTTCTTTTATTTCCAACAAGGCATTCACCTGTAGTCCTAACTGTAGGTTTAGGGCAATGGATTAAATACTCTTACCCACAAGTCCAAGGGCCTATCTTTACTATGTCCCATGCACTTAGTTTTGAGATAAAAAGTGGGGAGCTCTAGATACATTTTTAAGATGTAGTAAATTAGGATATGTGTGAGGGTCAGTGTCTGGCCCAAATTGTCCCGTGAGTTTCTTGTCTGGATGGAGACTCCAATGCAGATCTTCCAAGTCCCAGTTCAACAATGTAACCACTATGGAATATGACCTCAGAAAGTCAGACAGTCCATGATTTAATATTGAGGAGGACATAGAGAGTATTTGCACCTTTGCCCCCCCCCCCGTTTGATTGTGATCCCTGAAACCCTGAAGCCTCCAACCTGCATTCACAAAAGCCATCCAATTGTAATGTAAATGCAGTTGTAGGTCAGTGAGTTAAGCTCCTTACATCCCACTCTGGTGTGTCTTTCATGTTCAATGCATGCACTAGTTAGATTGTTTGACCCTCAGGGAATTTGGAGATGCAGGTGATGAAGACAAAAGGAGCACTGATATCACTTTTCTGAAAGCAGAAATACAGTGCAAAAGTAATAATCCTTGATCTCACATTCTGGGTTGTGGGGGAAAAGGATAAGCAAGGATTCTGTCTCACACTAGGTTTATTCACATGTTGCAATGAATATGTATTCACAGTCTTTATAGAGTCTCTGGGTCTAGATTATCACATCAATCTGAATGAATATGAACTAGGTATGAATAAGGCTTTTGCATACTGTGTGAATCCCCCTGGTGTGAGATCATTCTTGAACATCAGTCCTGAGACTTTTATATATAGGACAGGGTACAAAAGTTTTAAATAAATAAACCAACAAACCTTTTTTTCACACACACCCTTCAGACTTTCCCAATCATGGAGAATTTATGGGATGGAGAGCATGATGTTGTGAGCCGCCCCGAGGCTTCGACGAATGGGGCGGCATAGAAATGTTTTAATAAATAATAAATAAATGATGCTGGCACTCCTGTCCCCATCATCTTTCCATGCTTACAGCACCTCTCCATGCTGAATATCTCAATTAGGTTACTGTATGCATACCTTCATACCTTATTTGTGCAGAGGTTCTAGAATTCTGCTTAATTCCTGGTACAAATAATGTGTACAGTTGAACTTGGATTGAATGACCATATGTACACTTATCTGAACTGATGAATGAATGATCACTTTAGGGGTATACACATAATAAACCTTATATGCTTGCATAAAATTAAAATCTTGAATCAAATTTTTGTAGAAATTTTATATATTACATTTCCTGACTAATGGCCAAAACTTTTTGAAGAGTTCACTACAATGAAAAGCACACAATACAACATGCTAAACTGCAGTGAACGTACATTCTTAATAATTCCCTTAGGGAGTGCATTTATTATTGACAGTATTTTTAATGACCAAAGTTCCCTTGAGAAATAACTAATAATTGACTAGTACTTACACTAGACTGGGTATTGTTACTCAGAAACAGAAATGGAAGTAAATCAAGCACATCTGGTTCTGCAATAATAATATCGGACACCAGTGGAGATCAGAGGCATTCTTCCAGAACCCATCATTTGATGCAAATGTGCACCTGAAAAACTCAAGAATTTCACCAATGGTTTTGAGTGCACACAAAGAAGATTGGGCAAGCATCAATGAGGTAACACCCTAATGATACAACCCTGAATTTTACTAACAGTGATAATATTTACATGCATCATCAGTTCAATAATGTAGTGTTATAAGCATGCTAAACTGGACTATGACAATACTGGCATACATTAGGTGTCCACTTCAATTGTATTGCATTTTATGTTCTTTCTGAAGATAACATTTTACTTACACTTCATAGAAGCTGATTGAAACCACTACTGCCTCTTTTTCAAAGTCCAATAAAATGCCAACAATAAACACCAGGTAAAAGATAGTTATGATCACACTTTACATAACATGATTATATCCTACATGAGGAAAATATAGGTACTGCCTCAGTCAAATCTAGGCAGCATGTCCAATGGTGCTCAAGCACAGCAAAGATAAAGATTTGGTTCACTACTTTGCCTCTGAATGGTATTGCTGAGACTCATAAAGCATTTCTTGAATCATACTTTCTCAAAGCAGGGGAAACTCAGGTGCTGGATTATGTGTATAGCTTATAACGGTGAACTCCTTTCTCAGGAGTGGGAAAGATGTAGACATCCCTGCATGTCTTTTAATGTATCAGCCCAGAAAAACAAAAGACAACCTTCCTTTTTTTTTCCTGGTTTCCAATCTCTTTTGGCAAATACATGAAGAAGTGCCATGCTTCACTATGTATTCAATTTAAAATAATGTCATAGATTGTGGAGATTGCAACGCTACGTGTAGCATGTGAATCACCACAATATCAACTTACATTTTAGGACACACTTTTTAAATTTTACACATTCAAATTAATATGGAAATTGAAACTCAGCCTTGAAAATTTACAGATCTAGATTTGCAGCAAAATTCTCCAAACAATGCACCTACACATACACTCCCATGCCATGTATATGGGAAAACTGCAAATAAATATTAGTGAAGATATCATTCTAAAACATACTTGATTAGGAAATGTAGTTGACAAAATGTGTATAGAAAACAAAATAGAGTAAAAAAAAATGCATGTGTTAGGAGACAAATCTGCACAATGGGGTGAGTTCCCGTTGCTCTGTCCCAGCTCCTGCCAACCTTGCAGTTCGAAAGCATGCAAATGCGAGTAGATAAAAAGGTGCCACTTCAGTGGGCAGGTAACAGCATTCTGTGCACCTTGGTGTTTAGTCATGCCAGCCACATGACCACGGAGACTGTCTGCGGACAAACGCTTGCTCCCTTGGCCAGGAAACGGAGATGAGCACTGGCCCCTAGAGTCAGGCATGACTGGACTTCACGTCAAGGGGAAACCTTTACCTTCATGTAGTTTTTTTTTTGTTCTACTGTAAGTTGCCCAGAGAACCCTATGGGCTATGAGGTGGCATACAAATGTAATAAATTAAATGAAATGAAAAAGTTATTCCGGTTCACAGTGATCCAGACTCTTGTGAGTAAGCTGTCTTATATCTGTATGAATGTGGATAAGATCAAACTCTTAGCTCTAGCATTAGCAACATCTACTTTCTTAATTTGTATACTACCTTGAAAAATATATATCGTATTTTGGAAGGTAGCTTATAAATCTTACACATAAAGAAATAAATAACAAAACTGATTTTTGAGGACAAGAGGAGGAGATTACTGGGCATAATCCAGTAAAAGTTTCCCAAGGCTAAAACATGCTGGACTTCTTTTCCCCTTGTGTTTCCCACTCCTCTTTAAGGTGCGCCCCACTGGGTTCAGTGGAGATTATATGAAGCAATAAATCCATGCATCCTGAGACCAAGAATTCAGCTTTATTCATCTTGTCCATTTCCACTGATTGTATTATAATCTATTTTAGCTTGTTAAGATCCTCTTCATACATGAAATACAAAGCTGGGTGTTGAGCACAATAGTTCCTCTCTGGTTCCTAGGTAATTAAAAAAAAGCAGAAGTATATATTTCTTCTATCTCATCTCCTTTCCCTTACTCTAATGTTTGTATTCACAGAAGTCAGAAAAGATGACTGAAAGCAAACCTGCTATTGGCACACACAAATCTTTCTATTGACGTGTTTGCATAATTTGCATGGTATGCAATTGACTGGCTAGAAAAACGTCCTTTACCAAAGTCCAAGGGGAGAAAATCCTCCTTCCCCACCCTGGTCCCCAACTCTTTTATGTTCACTTGTGATTAGCATACAGTTTCATTTTCTAAAACCCTTCATTCCAGATGTTAAAAGATGGCAACAGAGAATGTGACCACAGTTACTGAATTCCTTTTGCTTGGATTTGTGTATGGACCAGATTTGGAAATTGTCCTCTTCGTAGCTTTGTTCCTTGTTTACCTAGTGACTGTGCTGGGGAATGGGCTGATCATTGCACTCATCTGCATCAATCACCGCCTCCACTCACCAATGTATTTCTTCCTCAGCAACTTGTCTTTCATTGAGATATTCATGACAAGCTGCATTGTGCCTAAAATGCTGGCCAATCTTCTGGCTGAAAGGAAGGCCATTTCGTTTGCTGGCTGCTTTGTTCAGTCTTACTTCTATTTCTTCATGGGTTCTACCGAGTTCATCCTGTTTGCTGCTATGGCCTTTGACCGCTACATGGCCATCTGCTACCCACTGAGATACCCTACCCTTATGACTGGAACAGTTTGTGTCAAGATGGTGGTTGGATCCTGGGTTGGTGGGTTCCTGTCTGTATTCTTGCCAACAGTGCTAAAAGTGAGGTTGCCGTACTGTGGGCCAAACATCATTAATCACTTCTTTTGTGACAGTGCCCCCTTGCTGCATCTTGCCTGCAAGGACATCAGTCACATTGAGTTGATTGACTTCATTGGTTCTTTGATTCTACTGCTTGGATCACTCTCATTTACAGCTGCCTCTTACATCTATATTATTAGAACTATTCTCAAGATCCCTTCTGCAGATGGGAGAAAAAAGGCTTTTGCCACCTGTGCTTCCCACTTTACTGTTGTCTCTATGGGCTATGGAATCTCCATATTTATCTATGCAAGACCATCTCAGAGTGACATAATGAGCATGAACAAAGCATTAGCCATTTTCTCTGGCATCCTGACACCCTTATTGAATCCTTTCATCTTCAGTCTAAGAAATGAACAAATGAAAGAGGTGTTTGGAGATAACCTAAAGAGTATAATTTCTAAAATAAAAGGTGGGTGATGTATGCTGGAATTCAGAAAATAAGGATACAGACTGTATAATAAGCACTGATCAGTTGGAAAAACAGATACATGTGATGAACTGCTTTCTCCCATGCAACATTGCCTATGCCTGGAGATCATCTGAAGAACGTCCTTTCTACTGGTTTCCCTTCCTTTGAGATGGCTTTGGTGGTGACCAAAGAGGACCTTTATGGTTTCAGGCAGCATCCAGTTTATGGATTGTGCTCCCCAGGAAAATTCATCAGTCACCCACTTACATCTTTTCAATAGCTGGCAAAGTCCTTGAATTTTTCTCAAGCATTTTAAAATACCCCTTGAATTGGTTTCAATCAGCTGCTGCTGTGTTTATATCACTTCTGTTGTTTTAAGATGTTTGCCCTTTAAAAAAATGTTGACACACTCATGTTACACTGTTTTCTAATTTTGCAATATTATGTTTTAGGCACTTACTTGGGCTGGGGATTATGGAAGAGCAGTACATTTATATGCATACTTTTGAAAGGTGTGTCTGTGCTATACACATTGTATAGCAGCTTGGAATCTAGATAATTAATTCATCTATGACTGTCTGTGCTGAAATCTCAAAACTTTCACCAGGCACAGAAAGTAGACCTGATGTGGTGTAGTGGTTACAGTTCTAACTGGAATTCAGGAGATCCAGGTTCTAGTCCCCTTTGGCCAGGCAGCTCACTGGGTCACTTTTGGACAAATCACTGATACTCAACCTAACCTAACTCACAGGGTTGTTCTGGGGGGGAAACGGAAAGCAAGTAAGATGCCTTTGGTTCCTCACAAAAGGAAAGAAGGTAGAATATAAATGTGATGCTGCAGGTGATGCAGCATTGACCCTTGTGATATCCCTGATGATAACTTAAAATTGACCTTGCTTAATATGCCAAGATTCTAAAATTAAAGGTACTTCCAAATCAGTCAAGGAGATACTGCAAATAGGGAGTGATGGCTATAGTACTTTGTTTATTAATGCTGGGACTTCCCCTGCAACATGTTCACACCCTTTCATTCAAAAAGAGATTATTTAGGAATATTTAAAACAAATGGCTTTGAGTTAATAAATTTCCTTGGAACTGTACAAATCTGAGGTGCACAACCTGGTATTTTTTGAACAGTTGTTGGCATTTTCTCCCTCATTATATTTAACATGCTAGCCATTGGCCTTGAGTCCCTCTGAATATACTTTCTATACAGAATTTCCATTGAATGAGTTGTGATGAATGAATTGAAATGAATTGAACCCTAAATGTTGTTTTTCTAAGTATAGTAAGGACTTACCTCACACTATTGTGGTCTGTCATCTCTTAAGGAGAATAACTGACATTTCCTTGTAGCTAAGGTGTTCAGAGCTTTATTCACAACAGTTTGAGAATTAAAAAAATGATGGACTTGTTTGACAGATGCTTCAGGGAAAAGGAGAGAATAGGGAAGCTCTTTTCTGCCAGTGTATCAGTTCTGTTGGTAGGATGCTAATCTTGGATTTAATCCAGTTCTTGACCAGAACAATTGCCAGTTTATGCCAATTGTATCCCACAATTCCCCTGCCCCAACCCCAGCCTGGTATATCATATAAGAAGCTTGTCAGTGCATCATGGATTATATACTCTGTTTGATTCAAAATCAAATTCAATTTGATTCAACAAAAATATCTGTTGGAAAACAGGAGCCCATCAGTGAAACACAAAGCATAACTTGTAATTTATTTATTTATTTATTTTATTTAAAACATTTCTATGCCACCCCCATCGCAACAAAGCCTCGGGGCAACTCACAAAAAATACTGTAGGAGGATGCTACATCATTTGCCCAAACTAATGACCCCCACCTCCCACAGCTAGAGAGGCGATGTTTAGACTCCATCTTTAAGTTTCTCTTGAATGGCTTCCCAGAAGCATCACTCTATCACAGATCACTACACTACTCCATGTCAGACTTAACACACAGAATTCGCTTCAACAATCTCTCTTACATATAGTGGAGGGACAGCAGCTTTACCTTTTGAAATAGGGACACACCAGAAACATCCTCAAGCTTAGAAACACAATGGCAGCTTTATGGTCACAAAGCCAGCAGATCACAACTTGAATTTAAAAGGAGAAAGTATCTGCCAATTAGAAAAAGCATACTGAAGATGCTTGTTAAGTTCAGCCCAGCCTTAAGAAATGACAGTGTGGCACCTATGACTGCATTACAGAAGAAATGACACACCGATCAGAAACATTTCCACACCATTGGTAGCATCCATCTTTTAAATTATTGGCAAAGTTCAGCAACAAACCCCATTTATCTCAGGAAAGACCGTCAATACTGAGAGGATATAACAAACGGGCTCACTCCTTCCCCTCTGTTTAAAATAAGAATGCTGTTCAATAGTAGTGCGCTGCTTAGTGTGTTTGTGTGGGGGGGGGTTGTTTTTTTAAAGAATTCAGTATTAATGGAATGGCATTAAATCAAGGCAGAAAGGACTCTTGCATGTAGGGACACAGCCACGACTGCACATACTCTGATCTTGATGACTGGCTGGGCCTGTGTGTCATCATTCAGCCTTGTGGATGTTGCATTGCTTTCAACAAGGAAATTAAACAGCCCTTCTCCTTAAATGTTGGAACTGAAGGGTTCAGCTGAACTTTCTTTCCCCACAGAGCTCTTGAGAAAGTTCCAGCCAAAGATGGCTGGGGGGTGGATGGGGGTGTGCATGCATGTTGCAGGAGTGCCTTCTCTTCAACAGTCGCATTTGACTCGCTGCTCTCTCTTTAGGCAGACGGCACGAATGCCAGGACAGCCTGTTCTTTAAAACCTGGAACTGGACTAAGATTATATTTGGGACTGGTGAGGGGACTACCACTGTTCCCTAGAACCAGTTTGTGTTGGTGCCCAGTTCCCATTTCTTCTCAAGGAATCCTGGGAGAGCTCCCAACGCAACATCCACTTCCAGCAATGGACATCCAAAAACAATACAGGACTACCGGAGGGCAAGTTCCTTGATTTCAGCTGGGCTTTCAAACCGCTGCTATTTTCTCCTCCTATTCCAGTCCATCTTGCTTGCAGCCTCGCAGAACCAATTGTGCTGTTTTTCTATTGTTTGTTTATTTGTATGAAAAATGAAAGGGGGAAAAGGAATGAAAGAATCCCAACCAACGGTTAAAGCTACAAATGGGAAAGTGTCATCCTGTCTTCCACCAGCACCATGTCTGGCCCAAACTGGTCTGTACATTGTTTTACGGTAGCCAGGATGTTTAGGAGTCGCTGGTCCAGGGCATCCATATGAGGGGCAGACAGCACAGGTTCATAATTCAAAGGATCTATACTTAATAATTACTTAATTTGCGGGCACATGAATCTGTATAAAGGGAAAATAGAAACTTGACATACCCCAACTCTGTTTTTTTTAAAAAATGAGGAATTGCTTTTCAATGCAATTGATTAATTGAAACGTGATCTTATTTATAAACTGTTTGAGATATCGTATTTTCCTCAGAAAATTGTGGTCTTGTTTGAAATACATTATTATGAAATTGTATCTTCATGTACTTTGGTTTTTGTTTTGGATGTTAGCTATCTTAACTATGATTTTATATGAGCTAAAATTCCTCTATTAGTGAAGTTTCTATGTAATCTGTTTATACATTATTTTTAAATGAATATGTTAAAATCTGTATAAAGCAATGTCAGCAGGCTTTACAACCTAAATAAAGACAAAGTACAAAAAGAAAAAGAAAGAAAGAGAAAGGATGGGAAAGAAGGAAAAGATAAATTAGATATTCTCTTGTACTAGCCTTTATGGATCACACTTAATGAATACATTTCTCTCCTGAGCCATCAATTAACAGCAATGTTATGTTGATTACCAGATAAATTTCTCATTTAGCTATGGTGGGTGAAGGAGTTCTAGAACATTTAAAAATGAAAAGAACTACTTTCTGATCCCAAGCAGAGGCAGTTCCAGATACTGAAAAAACATGTCATCCCCTGAAGACAAAAATGAAAAGAAATGAAACCAAACCAAACCAAATCAACTCAACTCCATTAGACAGTGGTCTAATAGTTTCCGGTCCCAAGACAGCAACACTGGAGCATAGAATTGTACAAGAAGTCTTTGGAAGTCTTGGAAATCCAAGCTCAGAAGGGTTTTCCCAGTACTGGAAGCCCATCCTTGCTCTGCCCAGCCATTGCAAACCAGATAACCATGGGCAATTTCCAAGGATCCATGGGGCATTTTCCACACACCCCTCAGGTAACATTCCTGCTACTGCTATATCACTATGAGGTGAAGTAAATAACAGTAGTAGTAGCGGTAGTAATAGTAATAGTGGTTTAAAAATAAATTAAATCCAGATTTTCTAAGTGACATTGGTGCACATTCATTGACATTCCAGCAAGGGCTGCACAGAGGTGCAAATGCAATTTGCAAGCATCCTGTTGCCACATCAGCTAATGGGAATCTAACCTGGTAAAGGGGAAAATTGTTCATGAAGGGAGATAATATAAAGGATTTTTTTCCCATTACTAGTAACATGCCGTATTTATTTCTTTGGCTGTGGACTAAGAAAAAGAGATTGTGAGAGAGTTTGAGAGGGGAAGGGGGAGGGGGAGCCAGCCATGAAAGCCCTGCCTTCCAAGAACTTCTGCCTTGCTGGAACATGCCAGTAGGTTATAGGCAGGAATGGAAATTTTGCTATTAGAAACTCAGCTTAAACCATTGAAATGTTGTATTTGAAAAATATCTCTGAAATCCTTTAGGATTTGAACATTTAAGTGCTCTGCAGGTGCACTCAACACCTCTTGTCTTAAACACAAACTGTATCCCAGAATCCTACCTGAATCTTGGAAACATGTTTACCAGTATTCTGGGAACATATCTATACTGTTTCAGAAGCCTGTTTTTCTACTTAAAATTATTTTTCCTGTTTTTTTCTTGTTGATTATTCCACAATCTGGAGTTTAGAAATTCAAACTTTTATATGAAACTTGAAGTTATCTTCTTTCACTTTCAACTGTCACAATCCTCTAATTTAGGAAAGTAATTAACTGTTGAGTCCATTCTGGTGTTGAGATAAATCTATACAAGGTTAATTGGCCACTTGAGATTTTTGCACTAAAATACTCTAACACCTTATACAAAGGCTTCATTGATCTCTTCTGGATGCATGTGCCACAGCTAGGTATGGGCAATATACAGGTAGGCAATTCAGTTCAGTTTATTACCTTAAATCAATCATGAAAGAACTACCTAATATGTTGAGTGATGGATCTAGAAGAAGTTACTCACATCTGCATCTTAAATAATATTAATTTCAGTGGGGCTAAACTGTGACAAACTTCTTCTGGAGGAAATTTTATGTTTTGTGCTGCTCCTGCTATCGCTGTTCTTTAAAATGAAACTAATGTGATGGTGGCATCCGATAATGGAGAATATGTCTGGCAACAGGTGATATAATTGTTAATACCTAGGTAGCATAAGTAGTGTGCTCAAAATAGGAGGAGATGGAGGCACTCTTCTTCCCAGCTGGAACCCATTTTTGACACATTGCGTTCCCAGAAGAAAGGGACATAAACCAGAACTGTTATTGTTCCCTTGTCTTGACAATGGATATTGAGTCAATTTTCATATTCCAAGAATTGGAAAAACTTAGAGCAGAGATTCTGATAGTATGATTGTTTGGGATGTCAAAACCATAGCTCAGCCTTCCTCAGCCTGGTCACCTTCAGAAGCATTTGGACAACAGCTCCCAGAATTCCCATCCAGCAGGGGCACTGACTGGGGATTCTGGGTGTTGCTGTCCAAATGTGTCTGGAAGGCACAAGGATGAGGAAGGCTCATTCTCTACAACATTCTCCTTTATATATTCCTGAGCTAGCACCTCAGTTGAAAGTTCTCCTAGCAAAGATGACGTTGAGCTTCCAAGTAAGGGTTATTTGTCTATTTACACTAAAATTAGTATTCTTTTATCATGGGAGCTTTTCACAACAGGGAAAAGAATCATATGAAAAATGGCTATAAGTGTTATCATTACTGCAAGGTAAGGTGGTATAATGATTTTATGAACAGTCCTTTCTTCTTTAAAATAAAATATTTGGAAAGGTTTAATCAAAAACTTTTCTGTGATGTCATATGAATCCATAAGATTTCTTTCCAATAAACCTGTTTATTGGACTATTTCAAGAAAGAATAACTGAGTGTTTATCACTTGGTATGCATGTTATGAGGGTAGGGAGAACATTGTGCAATTAAGCAACAGTATGTCAAAACAAAGATCACTAATATATGCATGTGAAAAGTTTATTCTATAGGAAGGTATGTGTTATCCTTGTATTGGGAGGGAAGGAAGGAAGGAAGGAAGGAAGGAAGGAAGGAAGGAAGGTGGGGAGGAGGAGAGAGAGGGAGAGAAAAATCTCACTAAAAGCTAGAACAGACAAACTAGCAAACAAAAATGTGGGCTTCAACTGATCACTACTACTGATTTATGAGAGTATTAAGCTAACAGACAGCTTGAATACAAATTTAATAAATAAGTAAATAAACTGATTGAGAAATCTCCAATGCCTCTAGGGGCATCTCACTGGCTGCTTTATTTCATTTAGTCAAGAATGCCTTGGCATTCAGAACAGCCTGTATAGCATCACATGTTTTATTTCTAATCCATATATTAATATGTATTTTTCTATTATTTTAATTAATTAATTTCTATACTGCCCAACAGCTGAACCTGGATTGGATGAGACAGCATGAGACTAAAAAATGAAACAGAAACTTGGGAATTCATTCTTCTGGGCTTTTCTAATCATCCTAGACTGGAACCCTTCCTCTTCACCCTCTTCCTCTTCATATACATCGTACTCCTGTTGACTAACCTTGGCATTATTTCCCTGGCTACAGTAGATCCCCATTTACATACTCCCATGTACTTTTTCCTTCAACAGCTGGCCTTTCTGAATATTTGCTATTCCACTGCTGTGGTACCCAAAATGCTGTCCAACCTGATATCCACAAAGAAAACCATATCCTATAATTTGTGCATGGCACAAACTTATATAGCCCTCTTTCTGGGAGCTGCAGAATGTCTTCTTTTGGCTGTAATGGCTTTTGATCGCTATGTAGCAGTGTGTCACCCCTTGCGTTACTCCAAGATCATGGACAACCGCACCTGTGTGAAACTTGCAGCTGTCTCTTGGACTGCCAGCTTTCTAGTTTCTGTCATTCCCCTCTTCTTAACCTTGCCCCCTCTTTGCAAACCTTACATCATTAACCATGTTTTCTGTGAGGCCCCCGTCCTGCTGCATATGATCTGTACTGATACATCCTTAAATGAGCTCCTGATGTTAGTGGGAGGTGCAGGCACATTAATGTTGCCCTTCTTCTTAATACTAATTTCCTATGGTTATATCATTGGTGCTATCATTAGAATACGAAGTACTGAGGGCAGGCGCAAAGCCTTTTCCACATGCTCTTCTCATCTCACAGTGGTAACAATTTATTATGGGACAGGTATGTTCATGTACATGAGGCCAAAATCCACATACTCCGCTGAGAATGATAAACTGATTTCCATATTTTATGCAGTCATCAATCCCATGCTGAACCCTATTATATATAGTTTCAGGAATAAGGAAGTTAAAGCATCAGTAAAGAGAACCATTAGGAAGAATACATTGACCAAGGCTTACTAGAGATGGTGTCCTGGATTCTTTGGGAAAGGTTGATTTTGCTTTAGTGGAATTGCTGATAACTCCAATTAGGAATACCCCCTTTTAATTTAATCTGATGAAGCAAATCAGTTAAAAGTAGTAATTGCATTAAAGGGAAGACATAGAGAGGCAAAAGCAGAATCATGATAAATTCTGGGTATCTGGCATGAAAGAAGAAGATGGGGGGTAGTTGATGGGAGGGGAAGGAGAAAAGAAAGATAATATCCAATAGGACAGGGCTGGATAGACATGCCCTGTCCATATATGAGCCACATACGGTAAATGTCAGACGTTTGAGAGCTGCAAGTGGGGGGTATGACCACCTATGGGCAAGAAGCCATGAGCCACAAAATAATTCAAAGAGTCCCAATTTGGCCACACCTGCAATAAGAGAATGTTGTAGCTGAAGTACATTGTTCAAAGCTAAGAGATTACTTTAAGGGGGGAAAAAGGATCGTAAGGTGCAATGGGCATGGTTAAGAATTATTTAAAGAATAGAAAAACATGAAAGCTAATTTTAATCTAAATATATAAGGTGTCTTTGTTTTTAAAATTATCATTTGCGCACACACAAATGATAATTTGTGTGCACTAATAATATATAATATATATTATAATAATATATATAATATATATTTCTATATGCGTGCACACACACACATATATCTATATCTGTCTAGAAAGATTTATAGACTTACAGAACCATCCTATGACTACTAGGCAGAAACTAGAATGCCAAAGGATTTTTCAGAGTCCCAGTTCCAACCCCAAACATTTTCTTTATAGCTGGGACTCCAAACTCAGAGTACTCCACATTTCCCCACAAACTGGAAACAAATCAATGTATTTTCAAAGGCAAAATATGAAGACAGGATACCCAGTGGCTGCCAACCCTCCAAGGACTGTCTTCTTCCATTCTCATCATTTGACAAAGTGGAGATGGTGACAGTGGAAACATAGTAATGGGAAGGAGGAAGGGATTTCTGTACTAAATGTGGGATAGAAAATTAATTGTAAATAACAACTGGTTACAGAAAATTGGGGGCTGCTATTGGCGTGGTCACGGGCAATGGTCGTTACAACAATAGGGGCTTAACGTGTCCACGTAGAAGAAGGATGGACAGATGGCTGACACCTGTCCCTCCTTCTGATCCTGCCCCCAACCAGAGGGCGCCAGGTAGCCTTGTCAACCACCCCTCGGGTCTGACGGTGCTGCTGCTCAATGCCAGGTCGATCAATAATAAATCTTCCCTCATCCATGACTTGATTGTGGATGAGGGGGCCGACCTGGCTTGCATAACGGAGACCTGGGCGGGAGAGGGAGGGGATGTTGCCCTCTCCCAGTTGTGCCCGCCCGGGTATCTGGTTCAACACTGTTCACGCCCAGAAGGGAGGGGAAGGGGAGTCGCGTTGGTTTACAGAGCCTCCATCTCTCTCACGGGTCTTCCGGTCCCTTTGAGACCAGGGCTGGAGTGCCTCTACTTGGTGTTGGGCGAACGAGACAGATTGGGGATTCTATTGGTGTACCGTGCACCTTTCTGCCCAGCAGTCTCCCTATCTGAGCTGACAGAGACCGTCTCGGATCTGGTGTTGAGGACCCCCAGGATGTTGGTCCTGGGGGACTTCAATCTCCATGCCGAGTCTGGACTGACCGGGGCGGCTCAGGACTTCATGGCCTCTATGACGGCCATGGGCCTGTCTCAACACGTCACTGGCCCTACCCATGAACGTGGACACACTCTGGACCTGGTATTCACGACGGGGCAGGAAGAGGATGACCTGAGGGTGAAGAACTTATGTTTGACTCCCCTGTCATGGTCAGATCACCTCCTGGTGAGGTTTGTGCTCGAGAGCGGCCTCTCCCTCTATAAGAGTGCGGACCCGATTGTATGGGCCCGCCCCCGGAGCCGGATGGATCCGGATGGATTCCTGGGGGCCCTGGGGGAATTTCCGGCTGACAAGACTGGTGCTCCTGTCGAGGCTCTGGTCGAACTGTGGAACGGAGAGATGACCAGGGCTGTGGACACGATCGCTCCTAAGCGTCCTCTCCCACCAGGCAGAGTCCGCTCTTCCCCTTGGTATACACCTGAATTACGGGCGATGAAGCGAGTTGGGAGACAGCTAGAGCGTAGGTGGAGGAAATCACGGGATGAATCTGACCGAACACACTTGAGAGCCCACTATCGGGCCTATGCTGTGGCGGTGAAGGCGGCGAAAAAGAAGTTTTTTTCTGCTTCCATTACCTCCTCACAATGCCATCCAGCGGAGCTTTTTCGAGTGGTGCAAGGCCTGGTTCGCCTGGGTCCTAAGGAAGATCCGATGCCACCCTCAATGGCCCGCTGTGACGACTTTGCCAGGCATTTCAGGGAGAAAATCGCTCAGATTCGTCACGAGCTGGACTCCACTAATGAATCAGAGGTCTCTGAGGAGTCGCCAATGCCACCGTCTGGTCCAAAATTACTGGAGGAATTTCAATTATTGCGGCCCAATGATGTGGACAAGGTGCTTGGAAGAGTACGTCCCACCACTTGCCTATTGGATCCTTGCCCGTCTTGGTTAATAAATAACTCCAAGCACGGGATTGGGACCTGGATTTTGGAAGTGGTTAACGCTTCTCTGAGGGAGGGTCGAGTGCCTGCCCCTTTAAAGGAGGCGGTAATACGACCGGTCCTGAAGAAAGCGTCACTGGATCCAGAGATGGCCACTAACTATAGACCTGTGGCCAACATCCCGTTTCTGGGCAAGGTGTTGGAGCGAGTGGTGGCGGGACAACTCCAAGCACTCTTGGAGGAAACTGATTATCTGGATCCTTTTCAGTCCGGCTTCAGACCTGGGTACAGTACTGAATCTGCCTTGGTCGCCCTGTACGACGACCTGTGCAGGGAGAAGGACAGGGGGAGTACATCCCTGTTGGTTCTTCTGGACCTCTCGGCGGCTTTCGATACCATCGACCATAGTATCCTTCTGGATAGACTTGCGGGATTGGGGGTTGGAGGCACTGCTTTGCAGTGGTTCCGCTCCTATCTCGACGGTCGATTCCAGAAGGTAGTGCTGGGGGACCATGTCTCTACGTCATGGCAGCTATGCCATGGGGTACCACAGGGCTCCATTCTATCCCCTCTGCTATTTAACATCTATATGAAACCGCTGGGAGAGGTCATCAGGAGGTGTGGGCTGCGGAATCATCAATACGCTGATGATATCCAGCTTTACCTCTCATTCTCCACTAATCCAGTTGAGGCAGTGGCTGTGCTGAACCGGTGCTTGGCCGAGGTAAGGGAATGGATGAGGGCCAATAAACTGAAACTCAACCCAGACAAGACGGAGGTCCTGTTGGTTGGCGGATCGGGTTTCGGAGACGGTGGATTTGACCTGGTCCTGAATGGTGCAACACTCCCTCTTAGGGATAAGGTCCGCAGCTTAGGTGTACTCCTCGACCCGGAGCTTTCTTTGGAAGCTCAGGTGACAGCGGTAGCGAGGAACGCCTTCCTTCAGCTTCGGCTGATTAATCAGCTGCGCCCCTACCTGGAATACGACTGCCTGGCGACGGTGACACACGCGCCGGTGACTTCCCGCCTAGACTTCTGCAACGCGCTTTACGTGGGGCTTCCCCTGAAGACAGTCCGAACACTTCAATTGGTGCAAAATAGAGCTGCCAGGTTGCTGACGGGGACGGGGCGTTATGCTCACATGACTCCAGTCCTCCGTCAGCTCCACTGGCTTCCCATTGAAGCCCGGGCCCAATTCAAGGTGTTGATTATGACCTACAAAGCCCTAAACAGCTTGGGTCCTGGCTACCTGAACGAGCGCTTACGTCCGTATATGCCCGACCGCCCTTTGAGATCTGCGGGAGAGTCCCTTCTCCGGGAACCCTCCATGAAAGAAATTAGGAGAGTAAGTACCCGGAGGAGGGCTTTCTCTGCGGTGGCGCCCAACCTATGGAATTCACTCCCCAAAGAGGTCCGCCTGGCACCGTCGTTACTGGTTTTTCGGCGCCAGGTAAAGACCTTTTTATTTAAACATCATTTCAATTGTTAAAACATATGATCTGGCCTGGGCAACTTCTTCTTCCTTCTCTTTCTCCTCCTATATTTTTATTTTATACTGATAATTTTAATTTTGTATTTGTAAATCAATGTATTTTTTGTATTGTTATATTTAATGGTAATTTATTATGTACTATTGTATTTCAATGTATTTTATCATGTTGTAAGCCGCCCCGAGGTTTCAGCAAGGGGCGGCATAGAAATGTTAATAATAATAATAATAATAATAATAATAATAATAAGTATCTCTATGAGATCAGTAACAGGCTGATGATGCCAGTTTATTCAGTACTCCCTCTTGTTTGATCATACAAGTCCCAACTTTCCAAGTGAACAAGCTGAATAAATGAAGAAAACAGTTATGGAGGTAGAAAAGTAGCAGAGGTATGGGCAGTGCATGCTGGTGACTCCAATATTAGCGGAGTAGTGTATGCATTCCTGGTTTTAATCTGACCTTTAAGGAGCTAGCAGTGGTGCTGAACTCTAGTCCCAAAATAAGTTCAGCACCTTTAAAGTTCAGGCTGAAACCTGGAGTAGATATGCCACACCACCGAAACTGCTGAGTGTGAAGGCTACTTAGTGGATAGATCAGTGTTGCATGCATGACTTGGCAGAAGTGCATTGATGCAATGAGCTCCTAGCTTTCAGGGATCAAATGAAATTTGTCCCCCTGAGATCAAAGAGAAAAGCAGAAACATTTGGGGACAACAGAGTTGGAGTCTTGATAGTGCTGTCCCACTTCCAGGATGGCAGTTCCTCTAATGGCCTGTAGAGTGAAAGCCCCAGAGAAGGATAGCTCTGAAGACTGTGTAAATTAAATGGGATTGATTCCTTAGGAGATGAATTGAAATAATATTGGACTGAGACTACATCTATGTGCTGGAAGTGGTATCTCCAATAGTGGAGGTCTTAGTCATTAGATATTCAATGATAAGCAAGCAGGTGAACAAGAAACTGCCCCCCAAAACAAACAAACAAACAAACAAACAAAAAACCATAGGTAAAACCTTCTCATGCTGTTCCAGACTGCAAAAGACCAGGACTTTGGAAGCTCAGGCTGAAGCCTTAACTGTGATGCCCCATGACTGATGTTCCATGAGCTGAGTGTATTCATCAGCACAATACAGATCCTGCATCCTATCATATCCACTGTGTACAGACATTGTGTTTCTATGCCCATATTTATTTCTATGGGCTTACTGGGTATAATACTTCCTGTGTTTAGCCCTTGAGAGTTTATTCCAAAATAAAGTTGTTATAACTGGATGCAACGTGGTTTTGGTTTGATCCGTATTAGCTGTAAAAAAGGTAGATTTGCAAACATCTCTATTTACATAACTCAGATAAATGGAATTCTTTATGTGAGTTCCATCCCCTGCCTTTCCTGGTATCACATAATTAGCCAGAAATCCAATAAGTACATGTAAGCTCAATTAGAAAACTCTTTAATGAATTCCTTTGTGTTTTGATTTGCTGGTTTTTTCACCAACACATCACATCACAGCAAAGCTCACAATGAATTTGTGACCCCCACCCCAATGGCTTGCAAACACATGCATGGATGTGACTTCAGTGGAAAACAAAGTTCCCTTGCTATAGCAGACTTTCCTCATCTCTTTTATTTTTTGGAAAAAATCAGAATTGTTCAGGGAACTGTACTACTGTTCTCTGCTTATGCATTTAAGAAAGCAAACTGATTTAAGTACACATTTCACTGTTGAAGGGATGGAGATGTATTTTCACTGTTGCTGTTGTAAAATTTGCTGTGCAATTATTCTTCTAATTGTACCTCTCTGTTCATGCTCTGAAAAGAAGAATTACGGAAAGGTAATATATCTGAACAATTAACAAAGCACTTAGAAGTCTCAGAGTAATATATTCCAAAAAATAACCATTGGGAAATATCTGCTTCTGGAAATCAATAGGATCTATTTATTTTCCATTTTTTTTACCAAGTTTAATAACATTCATTTCTACCTGTTCCTGATTATCTTAAAAGACAGCATTAAATGAAAAGCAATACATAGACTGTGGTTTGTGGATTATAGACATTCTATTTGTAGTAATAAAGTGCTTAACATAAATCTTTTTCTGAAGTTTATCAAGTTAATATTGGATGTAATAGATCAACAAAGGTATTAATTAATATGCGTGGTCTTCAAAAAGTTTCTGCACTTTTATCTTTTATAAATATATTTTATATATGTTTTGCTGATAGTATTAAAAAGTTGGTACAGTGATGGGAAAAATACATTGCAAAGGAAGATGACTATGTAGAAAAGTGATATAATTTGTTTTTGAAAGTCTTAATAGTGTTTAAAAAGTGTGGAAACTTTTTGAAGAAGCCTCATATATGTGTGTAAGCACATTTTTTTCTAGTCCATGCAGAGTAGCCTACTAGCAATATGTACTAATAAATGGTCAGGAGTCCATGAAAGGGGATGTCTCCTTGAAAAAATGCACACAATGGGACATATATGTATAAAGTATAGCAGTTATAATGGAGTAGGTGCATGTATGCATGTATTCCACAGCATTCATACTGTTGGATACAGAACTGATGCAAAAGTACAGTGATTCTTTTGGATCCTGGATCCAACTTTTCCTACACACACATACACACAAAGATTTTTCAAATGCTAATATTACAGCAGCAATAGAAATCATATTAATCAACCTAGAGGTAAAAGCAGCAGCAGCACTAGCAATGGCAGCTGAACATCTTGCAACATATTCAGAATACTCAGCAACATTTTCAGTAAAGAAGCAATTTTAAATTATTTAACATTAAAGGTAGAATCAAAGAATATTTGGCAAGCCTGTGGCTTCAGGAAGCTGCACTAGTATGTTCTTGGTTTCCCAATATATGATTTAACAGATGCCCATGCAGTCAATTTTTGTGCTGTCCAAATAGGTCAACATATATCAGTGATCATTTTTGCTATCTAGATCTATTTGATAACATCCAGTCAAATTCACTTGGAGTTAAAGTTTCTAAATTGTATCTGCATCCTATTGAGCACTTTCTATGTGCTTTCAGAATAACTTCTGAAATTTTACATTTATAGTAACAAAATGTACTTTTTGCCAGTGTGGTGGGGGCTGGGGGATAGAACAATCTGATAATGTGTCTTCTAATGTTCTTTAGTGATTCCTGGAAATGTCTTCCCTGCTAGTTCTTCAACAAGATGTTTAAATGGAGAACAACACGAAAGTGACAGAATTTATCCTCTTGGGCCTCTCCCAGAATCCCAAAATCCAGACCCTGCTCTTCATCCTTTTTCTCTTCATCTATAGCACAACATGGCTTGGAAATCTTGCCATTATAATCACTGTGATAACTACACCCAACCTCCACACACCCATGTACTTCCTCCTAGTCAATTTAGCTGTCATAGACATAAGTGAATCATCAGTCACATCTCTCAAAATGCTATTGGATCTCTTCTCCAACACTCATACCATCACATATAACTGGTGCATCACACAGATCTTCTTCTTCCATTTAACAGGAGGTGCAGTGGTATTCTTACTTGTTGCTATGGCTGTTGACAGGTTTGTAGCTATCTACAAACCACTGCAATATTTAATAATCATGAACAGAGGTGTTTGCATAGGTCTGGTGGCAGGAGCGTGGTTGGGTGGCTTTGCTCACTCCTTTATCCAGATTGGAATTCTTATTCAACTGCCATTCTGTGACACAAACATTTTGGATAACTTCTACTGTGACATCCCTCAGCTCATCAAACTGGCATGTACTGGCACCTACATCACAGAACTGCTGATGGTTTGCAATAGTGGGCTACTGCTGACTTTAATCTTCTTTTCCTTACTTGTGTCATACACAGTCATCTTGGTGAAGATTAGAACACATGTTACACAAGGGAAACACAAAGCTCTTTCTACCTGTGCTGCACAGATCATGGTTATGAGCTTGAATTTTGTTCCAGGTATGCTTGTTTATGACCGTCCTTTCAAAGTGTTCGCAGGAGAAAAGATTGCTTCGGTCCTCTACGCCCTTCTGACACCAATGCTGAACTCAGTGATTTTCACTTTGCGTAACGCAGAGATGAAAAACACAGTTTGCAAACTTATGAGAAAACTGTTGCTTTCTAAAAGGATAGGATGAGCTCATTGTGTCCCTCATATGAAGCTAACAGTGAACACTTCTCACACTCCCCCTCCTGATTAGTCAGAAGTTACACCTCAGCATGTGTGAGGGAAGAGCCATTCAGTGGAACAACCTGAAGGATACCATTCTTAGGAATGCAACAAGAAAACTTAAACTGCTGAAGGATGTAACAACATTATCAGAATTATGAAAGTATGCTTTCTAAAACTGTGTCCTTCTCATTTTATTATCTTTTGTTTAGCTCAGAAGCTTCATTCAGATCAGGTGGTCTTAGAATCTTTTAGGAATGGAATGAATATGCAACACACAATGGAGAACATATTATGTATGAAATATGGGTGGAAACTGAGAGTTTCCAATCAGTATCCACAACCATTCCTATTTTGCAGATATGTTACAAAATGTATATGAGAATGTGATGGTAGTTGAGTTAATGATGAAGGAAACACTTGCTTCTGAGCCTCAAGGAACTCCACTGAATTGTCCTAGTCTGGTTATTTTCACTAGTGTACACTAACAAGCACCAGTTTACCATTGGATTATTGGTCATTTCCAATACAGCAACATGTTTTGAAGTGGTAGATTACCTGTACTAAATACTGCCTTCCCAATACTGACTACCAATTTTTCTACTACACAACATTCTGGCTTTGAAAGAACTGCTTATCTCTTGTTCTATACCTTCCCGAATTAAAAGCCCTTCCTCAAATTCCATTTACTTCCCAGCTTGGGTTTACAGTTTAAATTGTAAACTTCTGTTTGATTCAGTTAATTCCCACTGAAACATAGTACACTGCCACCCTCAGATCCCTGGAGAGGACAGTGCTCATATCCCATGGCACAAGAATTAGAATTTGTGTGTCAAACATTATCTACATGTACGTTTGTGGAGCAGCTCCTTCTGTATGGCATTTTGATGGTACAAGAAAGGAAAATTGAACTGCAGCTCAGAAAACCTTTCAGTATGTGACTTCTCTGTTATATGTAGGAACCAATTGGAACCAAACATAGGTCTGTGCTTGTATTTTGTATTTCAGGAGATAGGGATAACTGCAGTTGTAAAATGAAACACCTTGAATGAGAATGAGAGAGGAGAGAGAGAGAAAGAAGATTTTGTTTGCAATTCCATGCACACTTGCCTGGCAATAAGTGCATTGAACACAATGAAATTTATTTCTGGGTAAATAAATAGTGTTTTTTAAATTGCAACTTATTGTAATTATGGCATTGCATGTTGTTAATACTCTAAGTTGATAATGAGGCACAGAGTATACAGTCCAGGCAATGTGTTTTAACCCCTTATCCCTGTATGTTGTCTTAACATTCTTGATTTAATCCTCAGCTTTGTCAAAAAGTTCGGCTTTTTCAAGATACAATTTGAACAAATTATGATTTTTAGGACAAGGAAAGTTGAGTGCAATCCAGAGGCCTTGTGGATCTCCTTTCTTTCTCATCTTCATGCTAATGCAGGTTGCTGATCTACAGTAGTCAGAAAATTTCCTGCTGGGGATTAGTCAATTGTTCAGAACAGACCTCAGTTTTCACTAGGAGGAAGTGTCCACCATGTCTCAAGACTCTTCCCAACCAGTTTCCTCCATGGTCTGTTCCTGACCATGAACCGTAATGGCTAAGACTGACAGGATGTGACATCTTAATTTATGGGGAAGGTCAGGCCAGGGACAAACTATTCCAAGAAATGAAGAAGAAATGATGTTGCTATGGTGTGTTGGGGTAGACAATCATGTTTACTTTGGAATAAGCATAATTTCATTATAGAAAATAGGGTATTTTAGAAGTAAACAAGAACAAAACCAGAAGTGACCATGGATGTGCCTGGTCAACACCCCATCTCTCTCTCTCTCTCTCTCTCTCTCTCTCTCTCTCTCTCTCTCTCTCTCATCTCTATTTCTGAAAAGAGTACAAAAATATCACCCTCACTTTTGGTAACTTTCCTGGCATGCAATATTTAGAATATTTTCTCAACACTACGCAATGGAAACTGAACAGAAATCAAACATATACCTAGAAGACCTATTCACTTATTTTCCACTAATTTTCATCTGACAAGTAAAGCAAAGCTTATTCATTTAATTATGTTTAACTTTATGAGCAGAACTATTGGTGCATTGTTAATATGTGCTCTTGAATATACTGGTCATTTTTTTAAGGACAGTGACACCTCATTCAGAATGATATGTAGACCGGGCAGAAGGTCTAATTAATGAACCCCAGTCTATGGTATTGTTTAGTGACTGATTCCATTCAGTAAATCATTCAACTGTAGAGAAAAACAAACAAAACCAAAAGTTGATAACAAGAAAGAAAACATTCCATCCCTGGAGTTCCACAGATAAGCCGGCCTTGTCCTAATGCTGGATAGTTTATACTGAATGTGGATGTAGGTGATACACAGTTAAAAGCTATAAAATGGAGAACTATGTCCACAGAATGATTACTAGGAATGTGGCATTACAGGAAAATGTATCAGCAGGGGCCTAAATAGGTGGAATGAGGAACCCAGCATGTTGACTTCATCTGAGATTCATTACTGTACTTTTATTTCAGGGTTAAAGATGGACCCAGAAAACTTTACGAGCAGAGTGACAGAGTTCCTACTCCTTGGCTTCACAGCAAACCATCTCCTGCAGTATGTCCTCTTTGTTGTGTTCCTGATGGTCTGCATTGCCACTTGGCTGGGCAACATCACCATAATCACCACAGTGATCAGGGACCAAAGGCTTCACTCCCCAATATACTTCCTGCTGGGAAATTTAGCCTTCATAGACCTCAGTGAGTCTTCAGTAACTGTGCCGAAGATGCTGTGGGACCTTGTGTCACAGCAAAAGGCTGTGTCCTTTCGTGGGTGCATGACACAGATGTTCTTCTTTCACTTCACCGGGGGTGCTGTAGTCTTCCTTCTCATGGTGATGGCTTTGGACCGCTATGTGGCTATCCAAAGGCCACTTCATTATCTCACCATAATGAACCACAGTACATGCGTAGGGTTGGTGGCAGGAGCATGGCTGGGGGGTTTTGTTCATTCCATTGTTCAGGTAGTTTTAATGATGAGATTGCCATTCTGTGGACCCAACATCTTGGACAATTATTACTGTGATGTTCCACAGGTTATCAAACTGGCCTGCACAAACACATTTGTTATAGAGATGTTAATGTTCTCTAACAGTGGACTTCTCACCACCATTATTTTTATTATCTTGGTTGCATCATACACCACCCTCTTGGTCAAGATACGAGCACATGTTAGTGAAGGGAAGACCAAGGCTCTCTCCACTTGTGGGGCCCAGATCACTGTGGTCTGCATTCATTTTGTACCCTGCATTTTTATCTATGCACGGCCTTTCCAGAAATGTGCAGCAGACAAGGTCCTCTCAGCACTCTATACTGTCATCACACCAATGTTAAATCCTGTCATTTACACACTGAGAAATACTGAGATGAAGAACGCCATCAGGAGATCTTTTAACAAAGTTCTGTTATGAGGAACACTGTGGAACATTTGCCTTATCACTGTCATGGCAGCTGAAGCATGTCTTAGGCGGTTAATTGCTGCAGCACAATGAAAGTCACTTTTGCCAACTTTGTTGAGCTCCAATGAAATGACTGGGAAATAAGTGAGCTCCTCAGAATGAGTATAGGATATAAAATTTAGTCACCAAGCCTGGAAATCTATGAGTCTTTAACCTAATGCACTGATATCCTAAATATGTATAATGAGAACACTGTTTGTTTGTTTATTTTTTTGTGGTGGGGCAAATGTTGTTATGGTTTTAAATTCAGTATCTTGTTTTAAATAAAAACCACAACAGCAGTAATATCATCTGTTACTTTCTTCTTGCCCAGTTCAGAGGTCTGTTGCACACATAAGTTAGATGCCAGACTGAGGTGACAATTTTGTTAATGGGGCAGAGGAACACCCAAATAAATAAGGAGAATCATAAGTAAAGAATGTATTGTGGAAATTTTAATGCATTTATACATGACAGTCATACATGTAGGATGCTAAATTTGTTTATTTATTTAAAACATTTATAGTGTATTCTATATTCAAACAGGATCTCTAGATGGTTATATACCAAAAAGAACTGAGGAACAGGCTCAAATATTTTAAAATATGCTAATTTATATATGCATTCAATTCCGTGTGTATGTGTGTGCGTGCGCACACATCCCTAAAGGATCCTGTCTCTTAAGGACACTCAATTTGTATGTGTGTATATATTTATATGTACAGGAGAGATGAAGGGAATTAATTTCAGAAGAAAACCTCAGGCAGAGAGATTGGATAAAATCTCAAAAGCACCCATTACAAATTTCCAAAAATATAGCAAAGCCAACTGTGTAGAAAATCAACATATTTAATATTTCTATTTGAACTAATGCTTGGAATATCACACATTTCTTACAAAGTTGGCATGCCATGATTGTTGAATGTGATTGTCTTTCTGGAGAGATCCTTGCTCTAGTATGTGATTGACCTTTGGACTGTGCTTTCGGATTGTGAAATCTTGGACTGTGTTTGCTTGAATCTCTATCATCTCATTGGCTTTTGACTCTGGACTGTTAACCAAATGTACCTCTTGCCTCTGGCCCTCTGAACCCATTTCAGGACTCCACCCTGCATCTGGTCCTGGTGGCTGGACTATATTTGCCTGCTGCCTGTGCCCCAGACCTTACACTTCAATTAGACATAATTTAAACAGTGTCTCATTTGACCCTTACTCCTTCTCTTTGTAACCTACTCTAAGAGCCTTTTGGGGTGAAGAGTGGGATGAAATCATATAGATAGCAAATAAATATTTTTTTACAATTCCTTTGGCAGACCATACTGGTGCTATGCAAAGCCAATATGAGACTGTTGCTTTTAAATATATTTCTGTCCCTAGGATATGGAATCAATTTCCAAAAGAGGGGATGGAGGTTCCATCAGTGAGGGTGTTCAAGGATAGATTGGATGTCCACATGTTGGGGATTACACAATTGGAGCCGGCTGGAGCTGGGAGTCAGACTAGATGGCCCAGGAGACCCTTTCTAACTCACTATGTTTCTAAGACACTTTAGATGCTTCTTGTATATGACTGAAACTAGGAGATCAACAATTCTAACTCTCTGATATAACCTTGAAAAGCAAAACAAATTGGATCCCTAATTTTAAATCTAGCTTACACTGTTGATCACTTCTGATAAATTTTCCACAGTTTTCCTATTAACCTCCTAATAGAATTTTTCATTTCAGTATTTCTGAGTGTGTAGGTTATAGGATTCAGCATGGGGGTGACAACTGTGTAGAGGAAGGATACTGCCTTATCGGCAGTAAATTTCTTAAAGGGACGGTCATAAATGAAGATACATGGGATGAAATGTAAGCTCACTACTGTGATCTGGGCTGCACAAATTGAAACAGCTTTCTGCTTTCCTTCTGAAACATGATTTCATATCTTGAACAAAATGATGCTATATGAAATGAGCAAGGCAATGAATGCTCCTGTAGTAACCAGTCCATTGTTGAAGACCATAAGCAGTTCTACAGCATAGGTGTCTGTGCAGGCAAGTTGGACCGCCTGTGGAACATCACAATAGAAATTGTCCAATACATTGGAACCACAAAATGGTAATTGTAGTACCAGTGCCACCTGAATAATGGAGTGAAGAAAACCACCTAACCAAGCAGCCACCACAACCCCTAAGCATGTGCTCCTATTCATGATGACCACATACTGCAAAGGTTTGGTTAGAGCTAAGTAGCGATCAGCTGCAATGACCATAAGGAAGAAGACAGCAGTGACCCCAGTGAAGTGAAAAAAGATTATCTGCATTAAGCATCCCTGGAAGGAGATCGTTTTGTCCTTGGAGAAAAGTAATTGCAGCAATTTAGGGGCACTTACCGAGGATTCACTAACATCCAAAAAAGCTAAATTGGCCAACAAGAAATACATGGGTACATGAAGATTATGGTCTGATATAACAGTTATTATGATCGTGACATTCCCAAACCAGGTGGTTACATAAACCAATAGAAAGAGGACAAAGAAGAAATGTTCAAATTCTGTATGTTGTGAGAGCCCACAAATACAAATTCTGTAATTCCACCTGTGATGTTTATCATCTCAATTCAGTAGTCATAAAATAAATATCTGCAGAGGGAATATATATATATATATATATATATATATATATATATATATATAAAAACACCATTCTCATAAATAACATTTTGAATTTCTATTTCACTTACAAAAATATAGCATTGCAATATCAAAGCACTTCAATAAGTATCTTTTTTAATACACACACACACACACACACAGATACATACACAAGATTATATTCTCAGGGAGAATTCTAGGAACTAGTTAGTCTTGAGATAGTACATTAACAAAACCTCAGTGAGGGTCAGTGAGCTCCATTTCTACACTTTAGCATGTACATAAGGCCACTTCATAATGAGTCAGAGCATTTCTCCCTTTTCACTCATACTGATTGTCAGCAGTTACCCAAGGTCCAAGCTTTGCTCCCCCTTCCCTCCAATTTCCCCCTGAAATGTCTTAATCTAAGAAGCTATGGATAGAATCTGAAATTTCTGAATGGACTTTATGACTGACATCATCCATCAAAGCTCATTACATTACACTGTGAATAAGCTCCATCTGTGATGCACATCAATGTGATGTGCATTGATGTGTGGCAGTAAGACTCACCATGCTGCATCCTGGTATCTGTAGATATTATAGCACAGACATGTTAACTGAGCATGAAAGAATGGGTATATCATGGACTAGAATATAAGCTATTCAATGAAACTGGGATGTATGGTGAGCAACATGTAGTTACCAATTCTCCCAATAAAGCACCTGTTTTCCCCATACCCCTTCCATTTCATCCAGACTTACACACTTCAAACTCACAACATGAACTGTGAATTTACAAAATTTGTTCATAGTTATCACCATCATTAATTTTTCTCAGAGAGCAATCCTATGGCTGCTAGACAGTATCTAGTTGATGACAGAATTTTTCAGATTCCCTTCTGACCAAATAGGAAATTGCTCTGAACTTCTAGCTGGGTCTCTACACATGGATACTCCCCATAATAACTGGCACGGAAAGAAACACTCTGATTATTTATCTGAGATTGTAAGCATGACCTTAGAAAAGGACTTTTTTGGGTGGGTGGGGGCAGGACATTCTGGGAGACTGGGAGAAGTGAGAGGTGCCAACAAGAAAGGATGTATCCTGCAGCACCACAACCTTCTTCCCTCCTATTCCAAAGTGCAATAATTAAATAATTGAACATCTATGCATTTTCCAGAGCAAGAGCACCACAGAAACACTGAGTAATTATTCCTTAATAGAATTCAATATTAGAAATACAATGGTATGGCTTATATGTATCTGCTCTATTAAGAGCTATACTATATTTGTATTGATATATAACTTTGACACCTCCTGACTTCACTTGCATCAGCAGACATGTTTTATTTAAATGATGCCACTGATTCATTTACAAGTGGAATTTTCTTTTCTGGGCCAGTGAGGTGCCTTGACTGACATAAAAACAGGCTTTGCTGGGTCATACCAAAAATACCACAATCCACTCTTGAATCAACAGAATGTCAAAAAATAGTGAGCTGATTCCAAAGCTGTAAAGGTGAAATTTCTGCATTTAGTCAGAGTCTTAACACAGAGCAGTGGAGGGATCAGTAGATCTATTTATACCAGGAGCTGCAAGGAACTATGTAGGTGTCTGGTTGTACTTAGAACTGCTGAGCAAAGTACCTAATCCAATAAAATATGCACTTCATACACATTCCTGCAAGTAAGGCTCACTGATGGAGCTCAACAGAACTTTTCACTAGGCATGAAAAAGAATTGCAGTGTAAGTCCATTGTCATAACACACTAAGGCAGACTTGATTACATCAAGGACAAGCTAGCTTTTCAATCTATATTTATTTGGTTGTTCTTTTTTCTGTTGAAGTTTAGCTGTATGAATAAGAAGGAAACATACATAAAAATAAATAGCAAATGTTCTCCCCATATCCTACTAAACGTATGTGTATTAAAATTGATGCAGTATTATGGTATCTGCTTTTGCCTTTGCAGTGGCGATAGGAATTACAGAATCCTAACTCATAATACAATTTATATAAATTGCCAGGTGGTACAGCAGTTTCTTCAATTGAGTTCTTACACACATTTCATTCGGGCTAATTCTCTCAATTAAAAGGAGCACAACTAGACACCTATTATTATAAAAAATCAATGAGGCAGAGAATGAAACAGGGTAACTGTAAGGTCTCAGTAAAAATTGGCAGAGTTCTCACTTATGAATTGTACCCTATTTAGGTGCCCTTACTGCAGCAGCAAAGGTCAGTTTTGTAAGAGGAAACTCAGCACTTCTAGGAATGTGAAAGTATTTTTCATTCTCCAGAATATATTATTAAAGGATAAACTGCCACTTTCCAGAAATGATTAATCTGCCTAATGCCATAAACTCCTAATATCTCACATCTTAAATGTCATTATAATCAGTAACAATTAACTTAATTGGCAATTATTAATACATCTCTGCAGTTTTAGTGGCATTCACATTTTTCAGGTTGGAGCCATACTTTGAATAAAGCAATTGAAATCAGTAGGATAAGCTGATTATGACTAACTTGAATCTTCATTATTTCAATAGATCTTACAGAAACATAATTAAATCTGGATCCAGCAGCACTTACGCTGCAGTATGTATAATGTACTGAAATGAAGGATTCCGTTCAGCCAAAAGGATGCATGTTAATGTTCCCTGCTTTCCTTCAAAGAAATGTAAACTTGTGCTGAACTCTGACACTAAAACCAATAGGTATGTCAGATGTTTCACTTTGGTTGGATCCTGTGCTCTCTGTGTGAAGCAACCTCAATCATGTTTAATTCCTGAATCATAAGTTTGTAAAAAGTGCACTACATGTACCAGGTATGCCCCAGTTTTGAGATGTTATGGTCTTTGGGACTTCAAAAATTGAATGCAATTGTATCTTCGTTGTAAGCACTGGTTCTGCAGTATGAACATGATGATTAACCTCGGCAAGGGGCGGCATAGAAATGTTTTAATAAATAAATAAATAAATAAAAGTGATGAAACTTCACCAACTATGGTCTTCTTATGTGTTCTCTGAGGCTTTGTTTTGCTTTGCTTTTTTAAAAATAAAGATCACAAATATACCATGGTCCTCTGAGTCTCTCACACATCAAATTAATCTCTACTGCTGTGGTGCTTCAGAGAAAATGTTTCCGATCAACCAGATCAACTGATGCACTTAAGCTGAATGATACCAGTGAGATGCTTACCCAAGACACCCATTCATGAAATGCAGTCATTGTCTTGGGGAATGTGGAGATGGATGCCCTTTGTGGGATGGGGGAAGAAATAAATTAGGGATGGGGAATAAATGAATTCAGTCAGTTTTGTAATGTGAATGAACCAAAACATGCTGACACCTATGACCTTATCCAACCAGTTCAGATTACCAGTGCTGGCAAGAGACTTACAACTTTCATTGATGGTTGCATCAAGGCAGCCTTGAGAAGAAAGAATGAGTCAGGAAGGGGAAAAAATCCATAAAGAAAGTACAATGAAATTCCTGCTTGAGAGATGGGCATTTCAACCCTGATTTTGAGTTAGGGTGCACATCACTGGTAGGGATAACAACCATTTTAAAAAGGACCCTATTAAAATTCAGAAAATAGGTAGAAGGAATAAGCCAGGCTGAAGATAACTCCATAACCTTGGTCAAGACCTTTTTATTGTTCTGTACTTAATGTTAATGTTTACTATTTTAACTATGCTTTATGCTCAGTTCATGGATTATTTTGTATTATTTGGGTATACATGTATTTATTGTATTTGACTTGTAAGCTGTCCAGAGACCTGCAAGGTCTTGGACAGGGTAAAAAAATACCCAAATGAATGAATGAATGAATGAATGAATAAATAAAATACTTCGAAATTCAGGAATGAGAAATGGGCATTTCTGGATCACATCCAGATAAAGGTAAGAAAAAAGAGGACCTTATTGAAGTGTACAGGCTTGGAACATGTTCTGAAGAGGCTGAAAGAATGAAGAAAGGAAGAAAAAAATGTTAATAAAGATGGTACTTCAAAATTCCTGCATGAGAAGCGGGCATGTCTGAGATGGTCCACATCCAGGTTAGGGTTAGGGTTTGAAAAATGAAAGACCCTTTTGAGATGTGGAGGCATGGAACTTCTTCAGAATAGCCAGAAAACAATAGCAGGGCAGTTAAACATCCATGAAGCAGGAAGTTTCCAAACTGAGCTTGACCCATGAGCATATGAGCCCAGAAAGGGGAGGGGGGGTTTGGAGCAACATCCAGGAGAGGGTTAAAGAAAGAAAAATGAAGCTCTTTTTGAAACCAGAAAAGCTTGGAATATGTTCAAAATGGGCAAAAAGAATGAACTGGGTAGAAAAATATCCCTAAGGATGGACCGTAAAAAAATCAGTGATCAGTTATGGACATTTTGCCCTGAAATCAGGGTTAGGGTTCACATCCAGGTTAGGGTTAAGGTTAGAAAAATAAAGTACCATTTTGAGATGCTGAGGCAAGGAATGTGTTTACAATGGGCCAAAAACAATAGCCAGCCATTAACACATCTATGAAGCTGGAAGTTCCCAAATTGGGCTTGACCCATGGGCATATGAGCCCAAAAATAGGGTTGGAGCAACTTCCAGGAGAAGGTTAGAGTTAGAAAAATGCAGCTCCTTTTGAATACAGAGATGATTGGAATGTGCTCAGAATGGATAGAAAGAATGAGCTGAGCAGAAAAACATCCTTAAAGATGGGTCTTAAAACATCAGTGAGAAGCTGTGCACATTTCCTCCTGAAATTTGGGTTGGGATCCCTATCCAAGTTAGGGTTCCAGTCAGAAAAACAAAGGAATGTATTGAGATGCCCAGGCTTGGAACATGCACCAAATGGGAAGGAAGAATGAGGCAGGAAAAAATAATCTCCATAAAGATGGTGCCTTTAAATGAGCTGCATGAGAGATGAGCATTTCTTCCTGAAATTTAGAGTTTGGGGCCACATCCAGGTTAGGGTTAGGGTTGGGCTTCATATCCAGGATAGGGGAAGCATTAGGAAACAATTGTACCCATTAAATTGCCATGCTGCTCATATGCATCCTGTCTCCTCTGGAATGTAAGAGCATCCCTGCATATGGATTACATTCACTGATGCTAGTTTATAAATCTGGACCCACCCCAAATCAGTGAGCTCCACCTCCAGATCATCTGTAAACTATTGGATTTCAGATTCTAGATTCAGTGCCACTTTGCAGTCTATTTCTTGCTACAAATAATTCTGCTCCCACGCTCTTCCAGGGTATCAGAACACTTAATTTATGAATTGGGAACCCTTTCCTCTAGTCATAAAAGTTAATTTTTTCTCCTTTTGTTAATCTTGATCTTAATCCTCACTCAGTGTTCCTCCAGGGTTCATACAGTGTCTGGTTCTCCTACTGATGAACCTCAATTTCCCCTGAGAATAAGCTCATTTACATCTTTCCCATGGGACCTTCTTGTTAACAACTGAGAGGTCAAAGATGTCATATGATACCACTGAAGATGGCAATGCATTTGTTAAAAGGTTCTATCATTGTGAGGAGTACAATAATTTCTAAGGGCTTTGTTATGACAGAAGAGAACACAGCAAACACCTTTAGCGTGAATCCAAAGGTACCCGAAGGTATCTTTTCATCCCTGCACCTGAATTACGCTTTTGTAGAAGGTATTGTACTTCAATGGAGAGGTTAAATAGTCCTTCCTTCTTTTGATTTATGTGTTCTCTTATTTGCTATTTAATATCTATTCCCATATTATTTCAATCCATCTCAGCAAAACTCAGAGCAAGAGTCATCTTGCATGAGGTCATAGAATTGTAGAATTGTAGAATCATAGAAGAGTTGGAAGGGGCCAGAATCCCATTGGGTCGAACTCCCTGCTATTGCAGGACACTAAGTTACACCATTCCATTCAGGTGGCTGTCCAGATGCTTTCTGAATGTCTCCAGTGAGGGAGAGCTCACAACTTCCCCAGGTAATAGGTTTTATTGTCACACTGCTCTGACAGTGAGGGAATGCTTCCTGATGTAGACATAAATCTGGTTTCTTTTAACTAGATTCCACTATTCTGTGTCCTGCACCCTGGAATGAACAAGAAGAGATCTTGTCCTTTCTCTTCATTACAGCCTTTCAGGTACTTGTAGGTTGACAGCTCATTAGCATTCTGTATCTAAAAGAACCTGATCACAGCAGCCATATACCTCTGAGAAGGTTAGATAATAGAGCAACATGAAGGCAATAAAAAGTCCATTTGACGTCAGCATTCATCCAGAGTTTGATTTTTCTAAGCTAGACATGGTGAGACTGTGCTGAACCTCTGGTCATGCTGAATGGGGATGGTGGGAACTGAGGTCAAACAGCAGCAAAGGGGATTCAGCTGATCTAACACATAAACAAAGAGCTATCACCATATTTTATGATGATGAAAAAGAGTGAAGGCATAAGTGCAGGAGATGACAAACATAAATGATTGTTCTTCCCTTCCTTTTTTCTTTGGATAAGAAATGAGACTTTTATAATGTGGAGAATATGTAAGAGCTAGAGTATTACACCTTTCTAATCTGAATTACTGTTTCATGTTTATTTTTATATAGGACAAAATGGTTCAAGGATAAAATGTCCAATGAAAGCACCATTCTTGAATTCCTACTACTGGGATGTTCTGATGTTCGAGAAATACAGCTTATATGCTTTGCGATCTTTCTACTGATTTATCTGGCAGCATTTATAGGAAACACTCTTGTTGTCACAGCTGTAATTATGTCTTCACATCTTCACAGCCCCATGTATTTCTTCCTAGCAAATCTGTCTATTATGGACCTTGGATACATCTCGGTCACCATGCTTAAAGCCATGCCTAATTCTCTCCTGAACTCAAGGTTGATATCTTATTCTGAATGCATTGCTCAAGTCTTCTTCCTCTTTTTCTTCATTTCATCAGATTTTTTCCTCCTCACTGTCATGGCATATGACCGATACATTGCCATTTGTGATCCCCTACATTATGGGGTGATAGTCAATAAGGTTGCATGCATCCGAATGGCAGCTCTCACATGGATCAGTGGTCTTCTCTATGCAACAGTGCACACTGGAGCCACCTTTGCAATCCCCTTTTGCTCCAACATCATCAATCAGTTCTTCTGTGAGATACCCCAACTACTGAAGCTCTCCTGCTCCGACTTGTATCTCCTTGAAGTTGTCGCTCTTGGCTTCAGTGCATTTTTAGGACTGGGCTGCTTTGGTTACATAGTTGTATCCTATGTGGAGATCTTCAAAGCAGTATTTAGAACCCCATCTGCACAAGCAAGAAACAAAGCCCTCTCTACTTGCATCCCTCACCTCATGGTTGTCTCCTTGTTCCTTTTCACAGGTGCATCTGCCAATCTAAAAATAGTTTCCAGCTCCCTGCCAGGCCTGGACAGTGTTGTGGCCATAGCTTACTGTGCTCTTCCCCCAGTGATGAATCCAGTCATTTATAGCATGAGGAACAAGGAAATCAAAGCAGTGCTGAGGAAACTCTATGCCAGATCATTGAACAAGCATATCAAAGGGAAACGTGATGGTTCAGCTCTATAGCAACTCATGCAGCCAAGACTCAGAACACACTAAGTGAAAAGGAGTCAAGAATAAATCCACAACTTATGCTGATGACTGTCCACATCTTTTCATGGAAGATAATCTTCCATTAAAGGAAATGGAATTATTTTAGAGCTGTGCACAAGTATCCCCCAACCCTATTCATGGCCAGAGGAACTGGGGAAATAATTTCACTGAATTTACTACAGGAAGGAGAAATTACGTATCAGTCATTGGCACAGCTTCTCCCTCACTCTCTTTTTTACTGATTTCCATGACAGATATTCTTTTGTGCATTTGGAATTGATTCACTATAGCTTATTAGCTGACAGGCAGGAGCTTATTTGGAGATGGCAGCACACATGCAAGCACATACCCAAACTGCTTTGCATGTTTCTCTGCTTGCATCTTTTCTATGGAAGCCCTTGACACACCTAATGTGGCCAGGCAGACTTTTTTAGAAGAGTTGACATCAGACTAAATGCAAGCCCACATGAAAACAACCAGTGTGGTAGGAAGTGAATATTATGGCCACATATCTCATCATTGCACACTATATTTTTCCAAATTATAGCTTCCAAGATGCATTTTAATAGTGTCCATGCAGACCCCTTCCCCCCCTTTTGGTGGAATGAGGGTTCATCTGAGTCCACATGGGTAAGTTTATTATCTGAGGAAATAACCAATTCACTAGGAGTAAGTTTACCCATTGGTGCAAATTACCATTACACACACGCTCACACTGCAACAGGGGTAGAGGATACATTTGTGCAAAGGCCTCAGGCAGAACAATCCTATGGCCAATAGATGTTGTCTAGACAGCCAAAGGGCTCTTCAGAGACCCACCTACTAGGTCAGAAAATGGTTCCAACCGCATAACTATGTCTCCATACCATTAGAATGCCCTCACTCCCCTTGCAACCAGCATGAAAAGAACTGCTCACAACATCTCCAAGGTCACAACAGTTACCTCAGAGGAGGGATTTCGGGGGGGTGGGGTGGGCTGGGGTGGGATGGGATGCAAGGAGGAGAGGAAACAGTCACTGCCAAGATATGAGATACCCTGGCAGTATCTCAACTTCCTTCCTTCCTTCCTTCCTTCCTTCCTTCCTTCCTTCCTTCCTTCCTTCCCACTCAAAGGTGCTCTGGTTAGACAGCCAAACCTGGCTGTCTAAGTATTTCACAGGGCAAGAGAAGCACACAGCAGCTTTCATCTCTGCTCCCTCCACCCTGCATAAAATGTCTGCAATTACCCAACTTCAAGAATTATGGGCATCCAGATGGGACTGTGCCCTAAGAGGTGTATACATTTCTTTTAATTTGAATGACCAATTCCAGGTGGAGGGACTGATTTGTAGCACAGGAGCTTTTTGGAGTCTCCTGTTCCTTTTTGTGAGGATGCTGGTCTCATTGATCTTTTTTTTTTTTTTCCTTACAGTAATTCAGAATAGTGGGTGATTTATAAAGGGAGTGGGAATGGGAGGGGGAGCAGGTAAGGATTTTACAAATGGACATAATCCTAGGTGTTCCCCACAACATTCCTAGTTCATTTGAAATATGTAGTATTATATCATTACATTGGATGGCCATTACATTTTTTTTATATTGTATTTTGATTCTTTCTTCTATTTGGAGAAGATCCCTAGAAACATCTGCATTAGTGTCCATGGAAGGTGCTACCTAAAGCCAGTTTGTTTGCAAGTATTTTGATTGGCATAATCAAATTTGAAAAGCAAAGGTGAATGTTTTGTAGGTATTTGGATTTGAAGATAAATCCTGACATTTTCCAGTGATTCCCTGTTGCAATTAGGGATGACATAATGCATTTCAAGGACAATTCAGTAACCTTCCTTTTGCTAGGTCCCTTTACACCTTTTTTGTAGGTGATGCCTTGAAGATCATCATGGGGCTGTGATATTCCCCTGGGACCAAATTCTTGAAACAGTAGAGAAAAGAGAGATGAAACAATCTCTTCCTGTTCCCCTCCCCTCTCATAGTGTGGGCATGTTGTATTAAAGATCACAGTCAAACACAGTGGTGTTTTCATCTACCACACACAACAAAAAAAGCAAGTAGAATCTTTTCTTTTTTTTAATTTAGCTTCATTAAGACTAGGGATCCTAGGAGTTTGGGACTGCATCTCTGAAAAGACAATATTTGTTGGCTGTTAGAATAAGTCTAATACAAAGATGATCATTTTACAATGAACAAAAATATAGCCCATCTTAGCTGCTTGCACCAGATTAGAGTGGAGGGAAAGTTGGGCACAGGTGAGAGATTAGCTTGAATCAGTCTTGTTCTATTCAGACTGGCCTTACAAACCTTGGTTAGATAAGATAGTGTGTGTGTGTGTGTGTGTGTGTGTGTGTTTGAATACTGCTTATTAGCATTGTGCTCTCTGAGTGGCCAAATACTGTGTGTGTGTGTGTGTGTGTGTATTTTATTATTTATAGACAAAAGGATGGGTCAGTTAGGACTGCGAAGAGTTATCCAGCTACACTGGCTTTCTTCTCCTTAATTAAAGAGTGTACCTTAGATCTCATAGTGTGGAAGGTACTGCCAAATTGGTGTAAACTGCAGTCAGAGGTAGTTGATATACGCCTCCCTCTACTTCCAACATTATTGTTGGACCATGAGAAAAGTGGCCAATCTCGTGCCATTTCGTATAAGGTAGCTTTGTTCCACACAGTTGCAGTAGCAACCATTTTTCGGAGATTTAGTATCTCTGAATTAGTGACAAGTGTACAAAATCTCCATCAGGGCCCTGAATTTGGAGATGCATCCTTAGCAGATGAAAGTGTTTGATTTAGTGTTATCTCATATAAGATGGAATCATTGGATAAAGGATCGTGTAACTGTTTGTGCTATCATCAGAGGGTATCTTCCCTGTGACAGCTGCAAATGTATTCACTGCTGTAAAAGGCAGAGAATAAGCACTTACTTTTTGTTGCATCATTTGCAGTGCCTCTTACTGAGTACCATGCTGGACAGCTGTTCGTTGGCACCAAATACTTGGAATGCTAGTGCTTTTCTCCTCATACCTTCAGCACTGCCACAACATCCACTGACACAGCAAGTCGGCATCGAAGGGCCTGTTGGTCAGTCTGAATTGCCTGAATTATCAATATAAATGATTTTTCACATATTGTTCCTCTTTAGATTGCCAGAGGGAAGGAGAAGCTGTATGTGTGCTGATATGTATATCCCCAACCTCTGCATAACTCTTTAAATAAATGTAGCCCATGTTTATAACAGAATATATTGTGCTTCTCCCTGCATTCTTCCCCACTTCCCCTCGCAAGTAGTATTTCCTTTTTGGATGTTGAAATTTACACAAAGGATTGCCTATCTGTATTGGTTTCTACAAAATCAGCCAGTAACGTATCTGCTTTGCAGTTTTATTATTTCCTTCTGCATATTCATGTTTGGAATTACCTATGTGCAATATTGCAGAATTCTCATGAGAAACACTGCATCATTTAAAAATTCATGTTTAGGCATCAGTTGAAGGGGGTTATTCTTATTGACCCCCTTCATTTGAGAAAATATTATGTATTAATTGCTCCCATTCAGCCTTAAGGAGCACTGGGTGACTTTCAACCTGACCCACCACACAGGGTTGTTCTGAGAATAAAATTGAGGAGAGGAGGGGGGGGGTGAAGGTTTACGTAAGCCACCTTTAGTTCCTTGAAAGGGAAAAGGGAGGGTATAAATATAATAAATAAGTACATAAGAGGCATCTTATGGTCATGAGGCAGCTTTTAGGTGGCCATAGTAATATTCAGATTCCCAGCTGCAAAGCTGGAAAATCATCTCAACTTTGCATTATTTATTTATTCATTTATTTAACCCTTGTAGCTGGAAACATGTGTTCAAATGCCCTTCCCCTCAATGAGTGCAGAAAGAGGTCCCTGAGGTCATAACAGCAACCTTGGATGAGAAGGATGAGAGAAAAACACTCCCAAGACATAATATATCTTAGCAACACCTCAGTCTCCTTTTCTCCTGCACCAAAGTTTCTCAATTCGCTGGCTGAAATCACTGCTTGCAGGACAAGAGGAACGTAGAAGGGGCCTTTGCCCACAAACATTGGAAGTACATTATAGGTTGAGTCATATCCTCCTAAGTTTTTACTCTAAAACATGCATATGATGGAATTGCCCCTCTATTTATAGATTTGGAACAAACAAACAGAACAAAATGCCACAACACAAGCAAGAACATCAGAAACAATTTGATTTTTCACTAATCTTTTTCTAATGGCACATTTATGAAGGAATAATACAAATTCATTGGTTGTTCAGTTTTTCCTTTGTTTATCCAAATTCTCATTTTTGAACACTCACAAGATTACCATGCATTTAATCACATTATTTCTTAAAATTTGTGCCACAAAGAGAGTGATTAATATTGTTGTACATTCTTTTGGGTTCCTCTATGTTGGGAAGTTTTCATGAAGAATTAGTCCTCATTTTGTTATATTCTAACAAGGAGTCATTAATTAATATCACTACTTTTAAATTATGGTTCTTATATTATTGTTTATTATGAAGATATAATAACAATGCTGCTTCGTCTACATGACAACAACCGTGTGATATGTTATGTTGATAAACAATGGTTAAGCTTCTCCTTATGATGAATTTTTCTGCAAGTTATGAGTTCTTGAAATGATTAATATTTCATAACTTTGCATTTCTAGCCTTTTATTGGAAAAAGGCAATCAATTACAATATAGCCCACATTTTTAGTTTCTCTGTTTTCTCTATTTCTGCAGCAGCAGCATTTGGAGAAATAAAATGGATAACCAATCCACTGTGACAGATTTCCTCCTGATGGGATTTTCTGATGACCGTGATAAGCAAATTTTGCATTTTGTGATGTTTCTTCTCATCTACTTAATAGCCTTAACTGCAAATGTTTTTATCATCATAGTTGTGGCCCTCAGCTACAACCTTCATACACCCATGTATTTCTTTTTGGTCAATTTATCACTGTGA